ACAGAGTTCGGTAGAGTGCTCCCCAAGGCATCTGTGACCTGCTCTCCTCAGCTCAGAGAAAGCCAGAGTAGTGTTGGAGGGAACAACCTCAGCTCCAGGGGGGATGTTGCCAGAAGGGGGAGGCCCAGCCCTGGGCAGGGTCTGACCCCAGCACCCATGGAGACCAGGCAGGCCCAGGCTAGGACTGCAGGAGCAGCAGTGGCAGTGATGGAGTAACAGCTTGTCTCTGTGCTACCAGCATCCACTCCCTCATCCTCTGGTAGGTAAGCACCCAAATTTTCTTTAGGGTTCCTCCTCTCCTACTCTCAGTCCATGCAGTTTTAATGGAGGTCACCATGAGCCACAGGACCTCCCTAGGGAGGCCATTATTCTGCCTCCTCCCTTTCTTTACAGTTATTGGTTCAGAGCTGAGCACATGACCTGGGCCTGGCCAATCAACAAATAATATGCTACATCCTTTCGCTACACTGATTGGTTCAGAGCTGGGCACATGACATGGGCCTGGCCAATCAACAAACAATATCCCATATTCTTCCTTTCTCTGCAATGATTAGTTTAGAGCTTACCACATAACCCAGGCCAAATACTACTCAGCTCTCTAACTGCCTTAGGCCATTAAAATCCCAAATCAAATATTGTTGACCTGGCTTGTGTCAAGTGCCCATCACTGAATTCAGTCACTATGGCCAGCAGCAGATGGACAGAACTGGTCTGTGGCCATTCATGAAGCCAGGAGTGAGGAGAGTTCCATCTGAACACAGAGAGTGGCAACATGGTGTTTCCTGACTTAGATGCTCCTGTTCCATTTGTCCCACAAATGTTTAAACATCACACATACTTGGTTAAGGTAGAAAATAAAAAACAGCTTTTGTTTTCTCTCTCTCTCTCTCTCTCTCTCTCTCTCTCTCTCTCTCTCTCTCTCTCTCTCTCTCGCTCTCCCTCCCTCCCTCCCCCTGTTTTTTGTTTTGTTTTATTTTTTGAGATAGAGTTTCACTCTTGTCTCCTGGGCTGGAGTGCAATGGCCTAATAGCAGCTCATTGCAACCTCTGCCTCCCAGGTTCAAGTGATTCTCCTGCCTCAGCCTCCCAAGTAGCTGGGATTAAAGGTGTGTGCCACCATGCCCAGCTAATTTTTTGTAATATTTTTTAGTAGAGACAGGGTTTCACCATGTTGGTCAGGCTGGTTTTCAACTCCTGGCCTCAAGCAACTCACTCATCTTTGCCTTCCAAAGTAGTAGAATTACAGGCGTGAGCCACCACACCTGGCCTGTTCACCATATCATAGAGACACTCACTATTGCTACTGAACGTGGATAAAACATGGGCACCAGGGTTCAATTTCTGGCTATTCTACTCTGGCTGTTTGCCCTTTGAAGTTATTTAGCATTCTGTGCCTCTCTTTGCTCATCTGGAAAGTGGTGATAACATTCATATCTGCCTTACTCTGTGGTTTAAGAGAATCAACATTCTTAGGACAGCACCTGGCGAGAGTAACTGCTGTTGTTTTGGTTTGAGATTCTGAGAATCACTCTTCTGGATCATTCACACATGCTGTAGTTTGGGTGGGTGCCATTAGAGGAGTATCGCTCACAGATAATAGAAAATTGTTTCAATGGTCCTTTCAGAACTAAAGGGTTCTTTCCCAATGTCTGTGTTAATTTCTATAGACTCAGATCCGACATGGTTCCCAGCCTTCCTGAACCCCTCCTCAGTCTTGTGGGACTGATGGATTCAGCACTCACATGCCCACCCTAACTGTAACAGCATGGGCCTTGTAATCTGTAAGAGCCCAAGCTGAAGACATCCCACAAGACACATGTCTTACTCTGAGTCTGTGCTGCTGGGAGGGGAGCAGAATGCAGTGAAATGGAACAGAAATGAATGGAGCAAACAAAAAGTGAAAGAGAGGAATGAGAGGAGCTTGGATTAAAGTGGGAGGGATGGGGGTGGCCAACTGGGGAGAGAGGAGGGAGGTGGGATGGGATAGGATGAAGGGAGGAAGAGAGAAGTGGTGAAGTAGAGTAAGATGGGACTTAATTACTGACCAAGCTCACCTCTACCCCCGACGTGGTCATCATCTAAACATGACATCAGGGGATGATTTGGGGAGGGGACCTCAAGGTTGTTTTCCTTGGTAAGATCAATAAGAGGGAAGAGAATAGCCGCTGCACAGGTGCAAGTAAGGGTCCCTCTGAGTGTACCTTTTGGCGCTTACCTACTCAAAGCTCACCAAGCCTTGTGCTTCCCTCTTCCTCAACCCGCAAAGCATCTCCCAGAACTCAGCCATGCCCTCAAATATTCCATGACAACCTCAGTGAAGTGCTACGACTTTCATGCTTTGTTCTCATGCAGTCCTTAGTGGCAGAGGCCACCAGGCTCCCATAGGGAGTCAAATCCCAGGCATCAGGTGAAGACACTGGTGATTAGCTGACTGACTTCCCCCTGTCCCACAGCCAGTGTCAGAACCTTGGTGACAATCTATATATTCAGACTCGCAATTTAAATCATGTTGGAGATGGGCTGACAACTGAAGTGGGAAAAAGACTCCGAGAAAAAAAAAGTCTGTAAATCAGTGCCTTGCTACTCCTCAGACCAGAGGAGCTTCTCCCATATTAGGACATGGCCTCCCTTTCCCTCTCCCCAGACAGAGCTCAGGGCACCCCACAGAGGGTCTCTGAAGAGGGAATCCCAGATGGGAATCTTCAAATATCTGGGGAGCTGGCCAGGTCTTGGCATCCCAGGGTCATAGATTTACAACTCTGGTTGTTGAGCAGAGCTTGGACTGGTGGGCAGAGTGCTAGAAGTTATTATAGCAAGCAGAGTGGACTGGGTGTGGTGGTTCAAGTCTTTAATTCCAGCACTTTGCGGGGGCCAAGGCAGGTGGATCACCTGAGGTCGGGAGTTCAAGACCAGCCTGGCCAACATGTTGAAACCCATCTCTACTAAAAATACAAAAGTTAGCTAGATGTGATGGCTTGTACCTGTAGTCCCAGCTAGTCAGGAGGCTGAGGCAAGAGAATCACTTGAACCCAGGGGGCAGAGATATACCTAAGAAGTCCAGAAGTGGATGCTTCCAATATAAATAAAAGTAGGTGATATAGAAAAAAATCCAGACAAGGAGATGTCAATGCTCATGTTTCATCATCAGGTTTCTGCCTCTCTTCTTCCATCCATTGCCTCTGATTTTTTGTGTTTAATTTATTCTCAAGCACACTGCTTTTATGTGGTGGGGAAAATGGCCCTTGGAAAATTCTGTTTCAATGGTCCTTTCAGAACTACAGTATCTCTCTCTCAATGTCTGTGTTAATTCCTCTAAAATGACTCAGACCTGATGTGGCTCCCAGCTTTTTTGGACTCCTCCTATCTGTGGGACAGATGGGTACAGAACTCACATACCCCATCCTGGGTGTGAGTAAGAGCATGGGCCTTGTAATCTTGGCTCATATGGAAAAAGGAAGGGGAAATTCCAGAAGATGGAAAAAGGAAGGGGGAATTACATAACAGTTTTCTGTCAGATGGGATGGTGCTTCAAAGCAGAGGTTATGAGCCTGAAGCTGTGTAGCTCTGTCACCCAGTGTGAACTTGGGCAAGCCTCTGCACCCTCTCCATCCACTTCCCTCACTGGCATTCCAAAACACACACATGCACACCACATACTTCGATTATTTTAAGACAATTGTTGATTCACATGAAGTTTTAAGAAATACTAGATATCACAAGCCAGGCACAGTGGCTCACGCCTGTAATCCAGGCACTTTGGGAGGTCAGGGGGGCAGATCACTTGAGGTCAGAAGTTAAAGACCAGCCTCGCCAACATGGCAAAACCCCATCTCTATTAAAAATACAAAAATTAGCAGGGAGTGTTGGTGTGCACCTGTAATCCCAGCTACTCAAGGGGCTGAGGCAGGAGAATCGCTTGAACCTGGGAGGCTGAGGTTGCAGTGAGCCAAGATAGTGCCATTACCCTCCGGCCTAGGTGACAGAGTGAGACTCTGTCAAAAAAAGAAGGAAAGAAAGAGAGGAAGGAAGGAAGGAAGGAAGGAAGGAAGGAGGGAGGGAGGGAGGGAGGGAGGGAGGGAGGGAGGGAGGGAGGGAGGGAGGCAAATAAGGAAGAAAGGGAGGGAGGCAGGGAAGGAGGGAGGGAGGGAGGAAAAGTAATAATAGAAATCACAGAACGCTTTACTCAATTTTCCCCATAGTAACAGCTTGTATAAATGTAGTACAATATCACAATCAGGAAATTGACATTGATACCATCCACCAACCTTAATTTTGCCAGTTTTACACACACTCGTGTGAGCTTGTGTGTGTGCTTAGTTCTATGTAGTTTTATCATGTACATAGATTTGTGTGGCCACTGCCACATTCAAGATCTACCACCATGAGGTCTCTTGTGCTGTCCTTTCATGCAACAGCTACCTGACTCCCTCCCCTACTCTCTGATGTGCAGTGATCATTAATCTGGTCTCCATTTCTATAATTTTGTGATTTCAAGAATGCTACAGAAATAGAATCATACAGCAGGTAACCTTTCAGGATTAGTTTTTTCTTTCACTCAGCATAATTCCCTTGATATCCATCCAAATGGTTGTATGTATCAATAGCTTGTTCCTTTTTATTGCTGAATAGTAATTCATAGTATGGATGTTCCACTGTTTAACTGTTTGCTTTTTGAAGGACATTTGGATTGTTTCCAATCATTGGCTGTTAGGAATAAAGCTGCTGTGAACATTCATGTACAAGCTTTTGTATGAATGTAAGTTTTCATTTATCTGGGACAAATGCCCAAGTGTATAATTGCTGGGTTGTAAGGCAAATATGTATTTAATTTCATAAGAAACTGCCATATCTTATTTCAGAATGGCTGTTTTATTTTACATTGCCACCAGCAATGATTGCGTGATCCCAGTTCTCCACATCCTGACCAGCATTCGACATTATCACTATTTATTTATTTTTACTGTGTCAATAGATGTGTAATGGTATCTCATTGTAGTTTACCTTGCGTTTCCCAATAGCTAATGATGTTGAAGATCTTCTCATGTGGTTCTCATCAACTTTTGTGAGGAGGTCAGTCTTAAGAATGTTTTCTCACCTGATAAATGGAGAGAACAATAGGACAATATTTACCATCCAGAGATGTTATAAAAGTTCTCATAAGCACCTAGAAAATTGGTATTCAAGAAACATTAGGGCATGGTGGCTCATGCCTGTAATTCTAGAACTCTGGGAGGCTGAAGCAGGAGAATCACTTGAGTCCAGGAGTTTCAGACCAGCCTGGGTAACATAGTTAGACCTTGACTCTCCAAAAATTTTAAAAATTAGCCAGGCATGGTGCCACATGCCTGTAGTCCCAGCTACTTGAAAGCCTGGGTGGGAGGATTGCTTGATCCTAGGAGGTTGAGGCTGTAGTGAGCTATGATCGCACCACTGTACTCCAGCCTAGGTGACAGAGCAAGACCTTGTCTCTCAAAAAAGAAAAAAAAAATGGTCAGGTGCGGTGGTTCATGCCCATAATCTCAGCACTTTGGGAGGCTGAGATGGGCAGATCACTTGAGGTCAGGAATTTAAGGCCGGGCTGGTTTCTACTAAAAATACAAAAATTAGCCAGGCGTGGTATCACACACCTGTAATTCCAGCTACTCCTGAGGCTGCCTCAAGTGAGGCAGGAGACCCACTTGAACCCGGGAGGTGATGGTTGCAGTGAGGTGAGATCAAGCCACTGCACTCTAGCCTAGGTGATAGAGTGAGACTCTGTCTCAAAAAAAAAAAAAAAAAAGAAAAAAAGAAAGAAAGAAAGAAAGAAAGGTATAATGAAAAGAAAGAAACAATAACAGTTAGTATTCCTGCAAGAGAGGGGTTAATAGTATAGACTCCAAAGTCAAACAGAACTCCGTTCTATCACTGAGAACCCTCTCCCTAAAACTCACTTTATGTGTCTATAAAATAGGAAGAATACTATTCCTTACCTGACAGGGTTGTCATGAAACTGAAATAGATAAGACATAAAGGCTCTTAAAGCCGTGCCTAATAAGTGTTTAATTCTTCTTTTCCCTCCAGAACTCAGCATACAGAGGCCCCCAATTAAGCCTTGTCCCTCCAACTGACACTTCATACCCACTATCATGTCCCAGTGCACCACCGTCACTTGCTGGGGCCAGGGCAGAAAACCCCAGATACAAACTCTCCCTTCAAGGATTTTTACCCCACCAGAGCTCTCCACTGCCTCCAGGAGAAGAAACAAAGGATTGGGTCTGGGAGCTGGGTGAGATTACATTTATCTAAGAAGCATCCAAATGAAAACTAGCATTTGTATTTATTGCATTTCACCTCCAAATTTGATTACATTTCTCTCCTGCTGTAAATCTGCCTTTCCTTCTGCCAAGTTATTATTAAAGCCAGGACAAAATTGGTGGAGTGATACGTAAAATTTCCATCTTGGTTTTGACATTCCAGGAAGTTACAAACCAATTACAGCTGCTGAGCCTCAGGCCCTGATGAATCACAGAGCACAGCAAGGGATGGAGGAGGCCAGAGAGGGGACAGGAGGGAGATAGTGAGTTGGGAATCAAAGGTCAATTAAAATAAAACAGTCAATTTTAATTTGAATGTCTTGCTTATATTCACATCCTATTCCCATAAGTAGAAAAGCAAATGAAGCTTATTCATTTGTGTGGGCATGGTGTGTGTGTGTGTGTGTGTGTGTGCGCACACGCACGCGTGTGTGTTAGGACAATAAAGCCTTTTGAAATGACTTCAGAATATCAGAGATTTGAAATTTGAAATGTCCCAGAGAGAAAACATACAATCTGGTGACCCACCCAAATGTCAGGGCAGCTGCCTAAATAAAGAGCCATCAGCATTAGCCTTGGGGCATGTGGGTCTAAATGACACCAGTTCTAACTTTGGGAGTTGGCATCCCTGTGTTTGAACCCTCACTTTATCACTTAATATGAGCAACTTCTCTGTGCCTCTAATTTCTCATTGGTAAAATGAGGACAATAATACCTTTCCCTGCTGATTAAAGATTAAGATAAATAATATAGCTAAGGTGTCAAGCACAATGCCTCACCAGGTGTGCAATGTTACTTTCTTTCTCCAAGGAAATAACAATCAGTGGGTCCCAAGTCCAACCAAATGACCTCAAATAACTATTGTTTGACTAGACCTTAATGTACTTTATACTTTCATAATAGGTGCTTAGGTTTCAAGGCAGTTGGTTTTCTTTTCCTTCAAGTGAACTTTTTCCTTGCCCTCTACTAAGGGCAAATGGTTGGTTCGATTCAGCACCATGGACAGCAGAGATGTTACCAGCCAAGCTATCAGAGTTTCATTCGTGGACCCTCATCTTGTGTCCCCTTCCTGTCAGCTCATGGCTCAGACATCCTGTGAGCTGTACAGTTGATCTGGTGTTAGGTTGCAGTCTTAATCTCTAACTTTCATCAGTATGGGAAATTTACTTTTTCTTTTTTTCCTTTTTTTTTGAGATGGAGTATCACTCTGTCACAAGATGCGTATGGGGAGAGCTCAAGAGTAGCCCTACCTGAGGAGAGGGTGATGGTGTTAGCCTGGGGTTGAAGAGAGAAGAAGGCAGAAAACAATATCCACACACAACATAGCTCTTCCAGACAGCAATCAACACCTGTTAGTTCATCTTCAAGGTTTGATTCCTGGGAACACCTGCTCCTCTACTCCCTGAGCATCTGATATTGTCCTTGAAAGCAGAATGCCAGCCTCCCAGGGAGGAGCAGAGACACCAACAAACAGCTGGCAGAAGTCATCCAGCTAGGCTTCTTTCCTCCTCCCAGCCCTGGGCCTTTGTTTGCAAGGGCCAACCCACAGGCTGCTTTCTCCCTCTGCCCACCGCTGAGACCCGTTCTGCAGGAGTCCCTAGTATTCATGTTTCCTGAGGAATCCAGCCCCACTTTGCTCCACACTCTGAGTAATCAGGTGAGGACTCCAAGCCAGCAAAGGAGAAATCAGAGGGCCCCTTCCTCCCATCTCCCTCCTGGACTTCTGCCCAGGTCTCTCTATGTCTAACGGTACTGCTCCCAGGTCTGGACTATATCACACTTGAAGGAGGTTTTCTCATTTGTCTCTATATTCATAGTTTTCAAAGTGTCATCCTGGGATTTGCAGCATCACCTGAGAGGTTTTTAGAAATGCAAATTCTTTGTTAAAAAATTTTTTGTTTTCATGGGTTATTGGGGAACAGGTGGTGTTTGGTTATATGAGTAGGTTCTTTAGTGGTGATTTATGAGATTTTGGTGCACCCATCACCTAAGCAGTATACACTGCACCGATTTGTAGTCTTTTATCCCTAATCTCCTTCCCACCCTTTCCTCCTGAATCCCCAAAGTTTATTGCATCTTACTTATGCCTTTGCATCCTCATAGCTTAGCACCCCCTTATGAATGAGAATATATAATGTTTGACTTTCCATTCCTGAGTTACTTCACTTAGAATAATAGTCTCCAATCTTGGGCTCCATCCCAGACCTGCTAAAACAAACTCCAGAGATGAGGACCAGCAATCTCTTTGAACAAGACCTCCAGGTGATTCTGATGCACACTGAAGTTTGAGAACCCCTTTTAAACAGAAATAGCAATAAGTGGATGCCTAAATTCCACCATATGGAATTGTTCTATTGTTCATCCCAGTTGATGAACTCTTGGATTAGTTCCATTTTTTTCTTACAACAGGAAAAAGTCTGTATTGAACAACAGCAACAGCTTTCATGTACACCATGGACCCATGCAGGTATTTCTATATGACATATTCCTTACAAATGATTTACTAGGACAAATGATGTACCCACTTAAATGTTAATAGATATGCCAGATGGACTTCCTAAAAGGTTGCACCAATTTGCATTCCCACCACAGAGAATGAAGGGGTACATGTCCCCACAGCCTTTCCAGCTTAAATTAAGTGAATCACGTTTTCACTTTCTTTTCCAATATGAAGGGTGAAAATTATATCTTGTTTTGATTTGCACTTCTTTAAGAGTGAAATTGAGCATCTTTTCCTATATTTATTAGCCACTTCAGCACAGTACTTTCTTGGTTGTCTCAATTTTCAGCAATCAGTATGTATGACTTGTAAAACGTTTTTTAAAAAAGAAAAAATATGCTAGTCCCCTCTTTTCTGCAAAGCACAGTGTTATGAAGGAGCCAGAATGGGGTCAAGTGTGGGATGACCAACCATAGTGATTTGGCCAAGATGGAGGGGTTTCTCTGGACATGGGATCTTCAGTGCTAAAACCGAGAAAGTCCAAAGCAAACCACAACGCATTGGTCACCTAGGCAAGTGACTTGCTCAGAGTATCACACAGAAAATCAGCTGCCAGCCTGTGGGGAGGTTCCTAAACCCCTGCTCCCCTGCCCAGGGCTCCTTCTTCTCCAGGCACCTCTCATGGAGAAACAGAGATGGACACAGAGGAGTTGGGCAACATGACTTGTCAATCTCTCCCAACTAGACAAGAAGCCCCTTTTGCACATTTACTTCTTTAGCCTGGCATTTATCACAGAAGCTGGCAAAGAGTTGGTAGCCAGCTTCAGGCTAAAGGCATTATCACAGTGTCAAGGAAGGGCAAGAGAGGCAGTACTGCAGTGTCCACAAAATCACAATCTTCACACAATCAGGATCCATCTCATGACTTTTGCAGGGAAACGCATTTGAAGGACCATCGGCTTTGGGTGGACAGACTCAAGCTCTAATCATCCCAGTCTCATTACTTACAAGCTGTCTAACCTTGGAAAACTGCTCTTCCCAGACCTTAGTTTTCTCATGTCTAAGATGGGACCAATAATACCTACATCTTAGCAGAATGGTTAAGACAGGAAGCAGACACAAGGAAGAGATGACAAATAGGGCAGGTCATTCTTTCTCTCAAGGAGAGGAGAATGAGCACCTGGAGTGGCTCACCCAGTCACCACAAGAGAATGAGTGGCATCTGCTTCAGGGCTCTGCACAAAAGAGCTTGGCCAAGGGCTCCACTGGAGGCTAAAATACAGTCTGGACTCTTCTCACCAATGCAGACTCCCTAGCACAAGGCTGAATGTGCCTGGAGAAAGCGGTACTTTTTCTTTCTAGAAGGAGCCCTTTTCCTCCCAAACTGAACAGCTGTGGGACTGTGTCTGCCCAGAGGGAGCACATTTTTGCAAATTCACACAAAACAGCAAGCCCTGATCTATATTAGTCCCATGTGTCAGAGCCCCTCTGACCTCTCCTATCCCTTGGAATATGGAGGGAAGGTTCCCCTCCTGTGGACCCCAGCACCAGGCCAGGCTCACCGTGACAGGTCATTTGAAGAGCAGAATCTTTTGCTCATTATGAATCATAAATCATTTGCAGAACAGGAAGTTGCTTCAATGCTGGCATGAGGTCACTGGGAATCACTACAGAGCGCAGACGGGCTACTGTTAGGAAGAGAGCTGGCCATCAAGGATGCAGGTGAGCCTCCAGCACAGCTTTATGCACTAGCCAAGGTTTGGGTTCCAGATGCTGAAGCACCATTGTCCTGGCTTGGCCATGTGTGTTTACAGATCATCAGGAGCCCAGCTGTGGATCTCAGGGAGGTCTTTGTTCAGAATACCAATCCTCCAGGCAGACAGCTCTGCTCAATTAAGAGAAAAAGAAAAGAAGATTGCTAAATGTTCAGTTTACTTACTTCACTACAAATATCCAACCCAAGAGAGAGGGTAATCTAATATATTCTGAGATGATTTAAACCCATTTAAATTAAAAAAAAAAAAGAATTCTCCAGCAGTGAGCTGCACAGAGAAGGGGGGTTTGAAGATGCCACAGAACAAGCTAAAAATGTGGCTCAGAAAATAGAGAAAACCAATAGAGGTAACTTAAAATCAACCAGCTAACCAACCAACTCAACAGACAGGCAAGCCCAGACTGGGAGTATGTCCCCAGTGCTGTGAAGCCAGGATGAATGGTTTTTGTTTCTGTTGTCAATGTTCAACCTGAATAAATCATCCTGGAGGAGGGAGAGCTGCAATCAATTAAACCAAAATAATACACTGATAAGAGAGCAATGTGATAATAAAAATTAAGTACATTTATTCAGCTGTTGCCCAAATATTTCACACCCTGTATTCAAGGCACGGGCTCCTCGTCTGTCACATCTAGGCAGACATAATTCATGCATTCCCTCTGTTGCCATCAGATACAACACCCACTTCCTCAGCATGCACATCACTCATCTAGAGACCATCCAGAGATGGCACCTGCACATGCAGACCCCCCACCTCACTGACAAATGCACACTCATCCATTCACCCACCTCAGAATCCCACATACACCAGTGGCCAACCATCTGTGCTAACAAGATTATGGGAAATTCTGCAGCTCTGATGGTGTCAACTCTTATGCCTCAGGAAGGTTCTAGCCTCTGTGGTGCCGGGTCCAGGTCACCACAACCACAAGGGTGTCTCTGATCTGCTCAGGCTGTAAGGTCTCTGCTGACTCCTGGAGCCCCAGGGTGCTCATCTGCAAGTAGGTACCTATATTCTATCCTAGACCACTGGGGATCCAAGAAAGACGCACACCTACCTCTGTCCTTTAGAAATCCTGCTTGCTCTGTTCCCTATATCAGAGGATTATAAATATAGGAGAAACCAAGAGCCAGCCTGGTGATATAAACAAAAGCAGCAGATCAGAGGGGCTTGGGTGAGTGTAGACCCTAGCCCCACTTCAGGAAGGCAGTTGCTACTCAACTCCTAGATGACAAAAAGCTATGGTATTTCCAAATGAAATTGTCTAGGAGTTCAAGACCAGCCTGGCCAACATGGTAAAACCCCGTGTCTACTAAAAATACAAAAATTAGCCAGGCACGGTGGCAGGCATCTGTGATCCCAGCTACTCAGGAGGCTGAGGCAGGAGAATCACTTCAACCCAGGGGCGGAGGCTGCAGTAAGCCAAGATCATCACTACACTTCAGCCTGGGCGACAGAGAGAGACTCTGTCTCAAAATAAAAAAATAAATAAAATGCTGTCTAATGCTTTGAATCCCCCCTCCTCCAGGACAAAAATGAAACAATCTGTTTGCAACGTGGTCTGTTCTCTCTGCTATCTAGTGAATGGTGGCTTTTGCCTGCATTTTAGGACAGACTTGGTCAATTGTAATCACTAACAGCCTTTCCAATTATTGTGCATGTGCAAAAAAATTGGGGGATAGGTGGCCGGTCGTGGTGGCTCACACCTGTAATCCCAGCACTTTGGCTGAGGCGGGTGGATCACCTGAGGTCAGGAGTTTGAGACAAGCCTGCCCACCATGTTGAAACCTCATCTCTACTAAAAATACAAAAAACTAGCCAGGAGTGGTGGTGGGTGCCTGTCATTCCAGTTATTCAGGAGGCTGAGGCAGGAGAATCACTTGAACCCAGAGTCGAAGATTGCAGCGAGCCGAGATTGCTCCACTGCACTCCAGCCTAGGCAACGAGAGCAAAACTCCATCTCAAAAAAAAAAAAAAAAAAATGGGGGTTTAGGGGATGGGCCTCATAGTCACAACAATATTTCTGATGGAGTATTTTCTACATATGATAAATGTCTTGGACCTAAGCACAGAAGTCTGCTTCATGCTAACCTGTGCTCCTTTCTAATACTTCTTTTTCTCTATTCCTGTGGTCCTCCCTGTCTTCACACAGTGGTCTCAGCCTCCCTGCTGCTTGTAGAAAGAAGTGTCCCAAAGAGACCCTATGCCACTGCAAAGCAGAATTTCTCACTAGTTGTTTGAATGACACTAGCACCTAGGGAAATTACTGCTTCTCTGGCCATATAAGCAGAAAATTCTGTAATCCCCAAAGAGATGATACCAAGCACAGGAAAGAGCCAAAGCTTTGCTAGCCAGGCACAGTGGCTCACACCTGTAATCCCAACACTTTGGGAGGCTGAAGAGGCTGGATCACTTGAGGTCAGGAGTTTGAGACCAGCCTGGCCAACATGGTGAAACCCAGTATCTACTAAAAATACAAAAATCAGCCAGACATGGTGGTGGGTGCCTGTAATCCCAGCTACTTGGAAAGCTGAGGCAGGAGAATCACCTGAACCTGGGAGGTTGCAGTGAATTGAGATCGCGCCACTGCAGTCTAGCCTGGGTGACAAAGTGAGACTCTGTTCCCCTCCCCTACCCAAAGAGAGTCCAAGCTTTACAACAGACTCACCTAATTTTGAATCTCAGTTCAGCTATTTACCACCTGTGCAACCTTGGGCAAGTTACTTAACATCTCTGAACTTGGTTTCCTCACAGGCTAAAATCAGGCTATTACAACTGATCTCATTGAAATGGTATAGGATGCTTTATTCATTCATTCCACAAATATTTATTGAGGATCTACTATGTGCCAGGCACTGTTCTAGGTACTGGGAATATAGTGGTGAGCTAGTGTTAAAGTACCTGCTTCCCTGGAACTTACTGGCCAGTTGGTTGGATAAAATACAGTATTTATAAAGAGCTAGCACAGTGCCTGGAAGACAGCAATACTCAGTAGTTTCCTCTTCTCTTCTGTCTTGCTCTCTCTCTTTGCTGGTTGACAAGATGTTGGCACTGGGGTCAGGGCTATTCATCTCCCTGCCAAGCCTTTGGCAACCACTGCTTCACCCCCAGCTCACAGCTCCTTTGGCCTTGCTGCACCCTATATTATACTCCCAGACATCTGTCAAGAGCCTATAATCTCCTATCGATCCTCTCTCACTGAATACATAAGAAATAAAAGGACTGTGTGAATTTGGCTATTAGTTCAGCTGCAGTAAAAGAGGGATGCAGAATAACTGTGGCCTTAAAGGTTAGAAATTAATTTATCTGTCATGAAAAGTCTGGGTAGGCAGTACATAGTTGCTGTGGTGGCTGCTCCTTCCACCTTGTGGCTCTGTCTGCCCGTCTCACCAAGTGTCTTCCTTCTTGTGACCCAAGATGGCTGCTTCAGGTCCTACCATCACATCTACATCCTGGCCAGGAGAGAAGGAAAAGGGGAAGTGGAGAGGGTATGCTGCTCTCCCTGTAAAGTCCTAAGTCCGAAGATGAACCCAACATACAGACCTAAAGATGGAAATGGTAGACATCGGGGAATGCAAGAGTGGAGAGGGCATGAGAGGGGCAAGGTTTGAAAAATTGCATATTGGGGCCAGGTGTGGTAGCTCATGCCTGTAATCCCAGCACTTTGGGAGGCCAAGACGGGCTGATTGCTTGAATCCAGGAGTTTGAGACAAGCCTGGGCAACATGGCAAAATCCTGTCTCCACTAAAAGTACAAAAAATTAGTCAGGCATGGTGACACACACCTGTAGACACAGCTACTTGGGAGGCTTAGGTGGGAGAATCACCTAAGCCTGAGAGGTTGAGGCAGCAGTGAGCCAAGATCACACCACTGCACTCTAGCCTGGGAAACTGGAGTAAGACCTTGTCTCAAAAAAAAAAAAAATACCTATTGGGTACTGTGCTCATTTCCTGGGTGACAAGTTCAATTGTATGTCAAAACTCAGCAATACACAATATACCTTTGTAACAAACCTGAACAAGTATCCCTGCAATGTAAAATAAAAGTTGAAAAAAATTTAGAAAAATAAAAAAAAGAAGCTGTACCCACTGCTTATTGCCACATCCCACTGGTTAGAATTTAGGTACATGGCTACACTCAGCTAGTTGCAAGAGAGTCAGGGAAATGGAGTCTTTAGCTGGGAACCATGTGCCTTTCAGACCCGCTACAGGGGGATTTGGCTATTAGTCTCTGTATTAACCTTCAGAGTGTTACAGATGCTTGTGAATGATAGGTCTTTTCACATCTTGTAATATTTGGTGGTTATCACCTACCTGAACAATTTTTCACATATTTGCAATGCAGAGCTTGGCAAGATAGGGGAGTCTGTAAGGAAGACAGCCTTCCTGAGTTTCAAAAATCCTTATAGGGTGGCATTTGCTTTGGTAGATCCCCAGGGTTCACAGTCCACTTCTCAGTTGATTAGGCTGAAATGTTGTCCAGCCCCTGACAAAGCATTCACTTCTCTGAGGTGGACTCACATGAAATCGAGGCTGCTGTATAAGCTATAATTCCAAAGCATTCATTTACAGTGAGAAATACAATTGCTTACTCAGTCCCAAAGGTCAGCTCATTCTTGACTATAGAGAAAACCACATGGGAAGGCAAATTATAATCAACAGTCTGCCTGTTAAAAATAAAGCTAACTGGGCAGTAATCCCAGATATTCAGGAGGCTGAGGCAGGAGGATCACTTTAGTCCAGGAGTTTGAGACCAGCCTGAGCAATGTAGCAAGACTTCATCTCAAAAATAAAATAAAACTGAACAAAATCAGCTTGATTAACCTCAGATATGGCGGCCATGATGAGTTTGGCCAGAACTCAGGACCTCTGACTTCTTGTTCTGCTGCTGAAGGCTACGATGCGTTCTCAAGGGAAATGATGTTCTAGGCGAAATTATACTGTTTTTCTCCCAAAAGGCATTTGTCCCAAATATAAACCTTATGCCCCATTCTAGGGGCAGGCCAATGTCCTACTCCAAAGCAAGCGAGTGTGAGTCTTTTTCCTTGGTTCTTCCCGCTGTGTTTACTCCTTGATCTTGTGGAACACATGGTGATACACTGTTCAAATCCCCCTTAGAGAGAAAACACACAGCCAGCATCAAGGAGTGCAAATAACTGACAGCCTCCATCTGGCAGCAACTTCAGGGTCCTCAGCTTGTGAGTCAAGTCATACTCTTCTTGGAATGGCCCCTGGCTAGTGACTGAGCAAGATGGTGTACTAGGACCTGGCCATTTCTCCCCAGTGAGGACTTCTGTAATGGGCATCTTCATTAGTATGTACTCATTCTGCTAATAAAGCCATATCCGAGACTGGGTAATTTATAAAGGAAAGAGGCTTAATAGGATCACAGTTCCACTTGGCTGGGGAGGCCTCACAATCATGGCGGAAGACGAAAGAAGAGCAAAGGGACTTCTTACATGGTGGCAGGCAAGAGAGCTTGTGCAGGGGAACTCCCATTTATAAAACCATCAGATGTCATGAGATTATTCACTACCACAAGAATACTATAGGGAAAACCACGCCCATGATCCAGTCGTCTCAACCTGGCTTCACTCTTGACATGTGGAGATTATTACAATTCAAGGTGAGATTTGGGTGGGGCCAAACCATAGCAGCATCCTTTGCTCCAGACCTCCCAGCTGGGCTGGCAGAGAGCTTGTGAGGTCTGCAATGTGGTTTTACACCTCCTCTGGCACAATCTTGTCTCTTCTCATTTTCTTTTCACAAGTGTTATTCTCTTTAAAACCGTTTGTGCTCTAACTCCACTGCAGCATGCTGAAGAGCCCAGTCTGCAACAGTGCTCTAGATCAGAGGTCAGCAAATCACAGCTCATGGCCCAATCCTGGCCTATAACTTGTTTTTATAAATAAGCTTTTATCAGAACTCGGTCATACCTGTCTATTCATTTACTTATTGTTCATGACTGCTTTTGCACTACAATGGCAGGGTTGAGTAGTTGTGACAGACTAATCTAACTAACATTTAAAATATAAACTATCTGGCCCTTTACAGAAAAAAATCACATGAGTCAACAGGTTTCCCATTTTGCTTAAACCAATTTTGGCTGGGTTTTCCATCTTTCACAACACCAAAGACCTGGCTTAGATTAAGACTATCTCCAAACCATAGCCTCATGACATACTGAGTAGTCCAGAGAGGAGACTGGGATGCCTCAAGGCAGCAAGAAAGATGTTGAGAGGGTACAAGGAAGAGGAAACATGAATTTGTGCCTCGGTGTTCCAAAAGGCCTGAGCAGGAGTCCTGCTGCAGGCACTCAGACTGCAGAGATGGATGGCATCTTCATCCCAAAGACCTCTGCTGTGATTGTGGTGCCCTGAGCAGGTATGTTCCCAATTGCAGTGAAGCAATGCCTTCATTAAACAGTCTGAAGTTACTTCCAAACCCTCAAAGCTGAGCAACTAGGGGGATTTTATTAGACATATTTATTCTATAACCCAGCATCTCACAAGACATCCACGGGTTTCTTTTAAGCTACTGCTCTTTCCTCCCAGGCAAAATACTCGTGTTGCTTCTCAGACATCAAGAATAAGATGAAAAAGTCCCTGTTGTTCTGCTTCAAGCCAGCTTAACTGGCAGATCCCTCTCCTCCCCCAGCCACTGGTGGACATGCCTGCCTTCTGCCTCCATCAGGTCTGTGCTAAATCCCCTTATCATGAATACATAAATGTTAGATTGAACAGAATGAGGTTCTCAAAGGTGAAGTCTCATGCAAAAACATTACCTTTTTTTTGAGGTGTTTAGGCCTCTGAATGTGCTGGACAGCGGATGAAGTGGGAGCCCTCTCCAACATATGGAGGAGGATGCAACTCAATCACCCTTGTGGCTGGGAGCCTTCATCTGCCATGGTCAAAACAACTTTAGATCTGCAAGGCCAAGGAAATGGTTGAAATGCAACACAAAACTGCACTATTTATACTTTCATTTCTGTTAGACCGGTATAATGATGCCTTATTGAACTGAAGCTTAAATGGCTCAAGACTGATCGTAATAGAACATTTAATTGTTTGCTTGTCTAACTCTCTCAGCCCTAATTAAATATTGTTTTTCATTGAGTGGGTTATACAGTGATGTTTCTTTGCTGTCACTGAAGAGAGATGGGGACTGAGGCAGAATTTAGATGAGCCAGGCTCACTTCGTGCACTCCTATTCCTTTTTTTGGTCCAACAATGGGAAGCAGAGCCCTCTGGAGGGAGACTCATCGAGATCCAGGGAACAGATTTTGGAGATGATCTCATGCAAGGCCTCAGAGAGGAAGAGGAGTTATAAGAGATCATGTTACCTTGTGGGGTTTCCTATAGAAGGCACGGGTTCTTGATGTTCACAGCTGGCACTGGTATCCTTTCTAACTCCTCTTTCTCCCTAACCCCTACCCCCACAGCACTGCCTTCAGTATCCCTGGAATCTAGCCACTTCTCCTCACCTCTGTGCCATCATCCAGAGCCAAGCCACCATCAGCTCTCATCTAGGTCATTGCAAAAGCCTCATGAATACCTTCATGAAACAGTCTGGAATATTTCCAAATCCTCAAAGCTGAGCAACTAGGGGGATTTTGTTAGACATATTTATTCTATAACCCAGCATCTCACAAGACATCCAGGGGTTTCTTTAAAGCTACTTCTCTTTCCTCCCAGACAGAATACTTGTGTTGCTTCTCAGATATCAAGAATAAGATGGGACCCTACACGCCCTGTCTGGCACATGCAGGGGCCCAAACATCTCAAAAAAAAAAGTGTAATATTTTTTCATGAGCCTTCACAGAACCTCATTCTGTTCAATCTGACATTTATGTATTCATGGTAAGAGAATTTAGCACAGACCTGATGGAGGCAGAGGCAGAAGTGCATGGCTACCTGCACTTATCTGGGCTTTACCGCAGACTATTCACAACCCAGCAGCCACTGGAAGGCCCTGTCCCTCCCCATCTCAGAACCCTTCTGCAGCTCCCAGCTCACTCAGAAGAAAAGCCAAGGTTCCATCTGGCAATGCCCTCCATCCTGCTGTTACCTGTGACTACAGCTCCAATGACATCGCCCTTCACTCACTCGGCTCCATCTATACTGAGCTCTTTGCTGTTTTCTTGAATAGTCTTCACAATGCTTCCTCTTTAGGGCTTTTCATTTGTTGTTATCAATACCTATAATATGTCTCCCTCAAAAATCTGCACAGCTCAGTGACTCACCTTCTTTGTGCCTTTATTCGAATGTCACCTGTCAGCAGGACCGCTAACTGCCCTATTTCAAATTGCAACCAACCCATCCTCTCTATCCATATTTTTCTCCATGGATCTTACTACTATTTGACATACATTTCAGTTGACCTATTTATTGTGTTTGTTGTTTATCTCATCTTCCAAAATGCAAGCTCTAGGAGGGCAAGGATTTTTCTCTGTTGATTTCGCTGCTGAATCCCCCAGTGTCTGGAAAAACACCCAGTACAAAGTAGCTGCACAAATAAATATTTTTGAGTGAATTAGTGAGTACACAAATAAATGTAAACATGCACATATGAATGCATAGTCTGCCATTTCCTTCTAGTCATGAATTACAATGGTCAAGATCTACTCTAGGCCAGGAGTCTGGATGCATTTGTACCTTGTATTCTAGGATTCTGGGCATTCAAGAGGAAATCTTCCCATTGGAGATGGAGCTGTAAAGGGCAGACTGATATCCAGAGTTCAGAATGTGCCCCAGCCATCCAGCTGCAAATGCTAATTCTTCTAAGATTAGGGCAAAACGGTGAAAGAGGCGGGATCTTGAGCCTGAGCTCAGAAAAAGGCTCTGATTTACAGCAAGAGAAGAGGCTAACACAAGGAGCTCTGGAGGCATCAGAAACTAGAGACAATTTGGTGAATGAACAAGACACCACTATGACCACCCATAGGGATCGTGGGTGCTGGAGATCCTGGGGCTAATTTTATCTTTTAGAGCATGAGGACAATCCAGCAGAAATTTCTGGAAGAAGAAGAGGGAAGGGAAGTGGTATAGACTGTCCCCGCTTGTACTGGATCTATAGGGTCATGAGGACCAGGCCACGTGGCCCAGTGGCAGGACCAGAATGATTGAGATGCATACTCCTCTGAATGCTGTTGGGAGAAGGATCCCACTTCATACCCTATTCAGCAAGTTCAGGGGCCCAACATCTCACACCAAAAAAGTAATACTTCTGCATGAGCCTTTACTTTTGAGAATCTCATTCAGTTCAATCTAATATTTACATATTCATCACATTTTCAAGGCAGGCACATTGGATATTCTGACAGGTGTGTCAAACCACTGACCAAAAATACTAGACCATGGTATACTTCCTTTTTTCATGCCTTACACTGAATGTCTGTGTTTTCTTTTGTGGCACAGGGAATTAAACTTTTCAGAGATTTGTCTATTTTATTCATCACTTCAGAGTTCTGGTTCTTGATTTGATTAATCAGCTCCACCAACTTTTTGCTTTGTGATTAATGTTTGCTCTTATCTCTATTAATTGCTTCCTTTGACTTTACTTTTATTTTGCTGTTCATTTTCTACTTATTTGGAGTTCTAATTCAATTATTCTCAATAAGCATATTTATTTTAATAATAACAGCTTTAGAATATGGATTTTGCTAAGAATAATTTTGGGCCCACCCCCTCACAGGTTTTTTAGACAGTGGGTTTCATTGTCTAAAATGTCTAAATAGCTCACTCTTTCTATTGATTTCCACCTGATAGAAAGGTCACTTTTTACATTCTTTAATTTCCAAGTCATTACCATTTATCTGAATTTAGGCGTACTCTTGCTGTTAATGAGATCAGGAACTATAGTTTATAAACTTGCAACTTGGAGTTTGCTATGGACTTCTCTTTAACAGTCAGGGTAGAGCAGGTTAGGTTGCAGTAACAACCAACCATAAAAATGTCGGTGGCTTAAATAACAAAGATTGGTCCCACTTACGCTACATGCTTCCAAGCGGTCAGCTGGGGGTTCTTCTCTTTCTAGTCACTCAGGGACTCAAGCCAATGGGAGCTCCATCTTGACATGTGCTTTCATGATCACAGAGGTGGAGGAAAGAGAGCTTGGCTCTTAAAGCCACTCCTGCGCACATTTCATTGACCAAAAAAATTCAAACGCCTGAGCTTAGAGCATGGATATCTTGTCCTGTAAAAGGAAAAGTACTGAATATTCCTGAATATTCTACCATATGCATTAACAGATGTCTAAAGAGCTACAGAGATACCTCCTACTGATACCAGGGACTCTGGCAGATATTGTTAGCTGGTGACCTGCCTCCCATTCCATTTCCAACCTTTTTTTTTTCTCATCCACTTTCCAGTCAGAAGTGGCTGTGACCCAAATATAAGTAGAAGGGGTGGGTGGAGAGAGGGGTCTCAAAAAAGCCTTTTGATTTTGCTTTTGCTTTTTTGATATTGATGGTGCCCTGTCTCCCTCCTCCTCCTTCCTGCCTTGACTGCTAATGTGAAAAGGCCAAAAGTATCCCAGAAATATTTGCTTGACATTGCTGAGCATCTGAACTACTGCCAATGGTGCCTTCTTCCAGATTTTTTTATATGAACAGAAAAAATAAAATTAGCCAGGTGCAGTAGCTCATGCCTGTGATCCCAGCACTTTGGGAGGCCAAGGTATATGGATCACTTGAGGCCAGGAGTTCAAGATCAGCCTGGGCAGCATAGCAAGACATCATCACTAAATTTTTTTTTAATTAGCCAGGCATGGTAGTGCAGCCCTGTTGTCCCAGCTGCTCAGCAGGATGATGAGGGAGGATCACTGGGCCCAGGAGTTTGAGGCTACAATGAGCCAAGATTGCACCACTGTACTCCAGCCTGGGTGACAGAGCGAGAACCTGTTTCCAAACAAACAAACAAGCAAAAGACTTTACTTGTATAAGCCATTGTGGTTGAGTTTCTTGTTACTTTCATCTGAAAGCATTTCTGAGTGATAAAATAATTCAGCATGTAAACAAGATGGACCATTACCACCTCAGTGACCAATAATCCTTTGGAAGTCTTCTGTGGGCAACTGAAAAGACTGCTAAATATGTATTACTAAATACAGCCACACCTCAGAGATATTGTGGGTTCCGTTCCAGACAATCACAATAAAGCAAATATTGCAACAAAACAAGTTGCATGCAATTTTTGATTTCCCAGGGCATATAAAAGTTATATCTGGCTGGATGCAGTGGTTTACTCCCATAATCCCAACACTTTGGGAGACCAAGACAGGAGGATTGCTTGAGTCCAGGAGTTCAAGACCAGACTGGGCAACATCAGAGACCCTGTTTCTACAAAACAAACAAACTTTAAAAATTAGCCATGCATAGTCACACACACCTGTAGTCCCAGCTACTTGGGAGGTGGAGATGGGGGGGTTCGCTTGAGCCCAGAAGGTCAAAGCTGCAGCACTCCAGCCAGGGCAACAGAATGAGACTGTCTCAAAACAGGCAAACAAACAAACAACAACAAAGTTATATTTATATTACACTGTCATCTATTAAGTACAATAGCATACATCTTTTAAAAATGTACATACCCAAATTTAAGAATACTTTATTGCCAAAAAAAATGCTAACAACCATCTGAGCCTTTAGCGAGTTTTAATCTTTTTGCTGGTCAAGGGTCTTGCCTCAGTGCAGATGGCTGCTGACTAATCAGTATGGCGGTTGCTGAGCACTGGGGTAGCCATGGCAAGTTCTTAAGATAACAATAAAGTTTGCCACATCAATCGACTCTTCCTTTCAGGAAAGGTTTCCCTGTAGCATGTGATGCTGTTTGATAGTATTTTACCACAGTAGAACTTTTTTTCAAAACTAGAGTTAACTTTATCAAACTCTGCCAGTGCTTTATCAACTGAGTTTGCAAAATATTCTAAATCCTTTGTTATCGGCCAGGTGTGGTGGCTCATGCCTGTAATCGCACTTTGGGAGGCTGAGACAGGTGGATTGCTTGAGCCCAAGAGTTCAATACCAGCCTGGGCAACATGGTGAAAACCCATCCCTATAAAAAAAGATTCCCCCAAGAAATTAGCCAGTCATGATGGCATGCACTCGTAGTCCTAGCTACTCAGGAGGCTGAGGTGGGAGGACTGCTTGAACCTGAGAGGTTGAGGCTGCAGTAAGCCAAGATTGTACCACTGCACTCGAGCATGGGCAATAGAGTGGGACGCTATTTCAAAAAGAATAAAAATAAAACTAAAAAATCCTTTATTTTCATTTCAACAATGTTCACAGCATCCACCAGGAGTAGATTCCATCTCAAGAAGCCACTTTCTTTGCTAATCCCTAAGAAGCAACTCCTCATCCATTCAAGTTTGATCATGAGATTGCAGCAGCTCAGTCACATCTTTGATCTCCATTTCTAATTTTCTTGCTATTTCTACCACATCTGGCACAATCATAGCTTGTTTCCTCCACTGAAGTCCTGAAGTACTCACAGTCATCCATGAGGACTGGAAACGGATCTCTTCCAGATTTCTGTTAATGCTGATATTTTGACCTCCATGAATCAAGAATGTTCTTAACGGCATCTAGAATGGCGAATCCTTTCTACAAGGTTTTCAATGAACTTTACCCAGATTAGTCAGAGAATTCACTATCTACAGAAGTTATAGTCTTACTAAATAAATTTCTTACATAGTAAGACTTGAAAGTCAACATTACTCTTTAATCCATGGCTGCAGAATGGATGCTATGTTAGCAGGCATGAAAATGACATTAATCTCCTTACTCATCTCCATCAGAGCTCTTGGGTGACTAGGTGTATTGTCTATGAGCAAGAATATTTTGAAAGCAATCTTTGTTTTTCTGAGCAATAAGTTTCAACAGTCAGCTCAAAATATTCAGTAAACCATGCTACAAAAAGATGTGCTGTCATTCAGGCTTTGATGCTCCATGTATGGGGCACAGGCATGGTAGATTTAGCATAATTCTTAGGGCCCTAAGAGTTTGGAAATGGCTTCATCTTAAAGTCACCAACTGCATTAGCCACTAACAAGTGAGTCAGCCCGTCCTTAGAAGCTTTGAAGCCAGGCTTTGACTTCTCCTCTGAAAGTCCTAAACAGACAGCGTCTTTCCCCAATAAAAGGTTGTTTCATCTACAATGATGATTTGTTGTTCAGTGTAGCCACCTTCACTGAATGATCTTAGCTAGATATTCTGGATAACTTCCTGCAGCTTCTCCATCAGCACTTGCTGCTTCACCTTGCACTTTTATGTTACAGAGACAGCTTCCTTCCTTGCACCTTGTGATCCAACACCTGCTAGTTTCAAACTTTTTTCTGTAGCTTCCTTGCCTCTCTCAGCCTTCACAACATTGAATAGAGTTAAGGCCTTGCTCTGGATTAGGTTTTGGCTTAAAGGCATATTGTGGTTGATGTGATACTCTATCCAGACCTTTCTCTGTATCAGCAATAAGGCTATTTCTCTTTCTTATCATTTGTGTGTGCACTGGAGTTGCACCTTTTAATGTCCTTCAAGAACCTCTGCCTCATTTCCTGAACTTGGCTGATTGTTTGGTGCAAGAGGCCTAGCTTTCAGCTTCTCTGTCTCAGTTTTCTACATGCCTTCTTCACTAGGCTTACTCATTTCTCATTTTGTTTGTTTGCTTAATTATTTTTAGAGACAGGGTCTCACTGTCACCCAGGCTGGTGCACAGTGGTACAATCATAGCTCACTGCAGCCTAAAACTCCTGGGCTCAAGTGATCCTCCCACCTCAGTCTCCTGAGTAGCTGGAACTACAGGTGTGTGCCACCATGCCTGACTCATTTCTAGTTTTTTATCTAAAGTGACAGGTATGAGATTCTTTCTTTCACTTGAACATTTAGAGGCCATCGTATGGTTATTAGTTGACCTAATCTCAATATTGTTGTGTCTCAGGGAATAGGAAGGTCTGAAGAGAGGGAAATAGACCAAAGAACAGTGGGTACAGAAGCCAAAGCGCACACAGCATTTATCAGTTAGGTTCACTGTCTTATATGAGTGCGGTGGGTGGCACCCCACCCCTCAAAATTACAATGGTAAATCAAAGATCACTGATAACAGATCACAATAACATATAATAATAATGAAAATTTTTGAAATAGTGTGAGAATTGCCAAAGTGTGACACATAGACATACATGCTGTTGGAAAAATGGTATTGACAGAGTTCCTCAATGCGGAGTTGCCACAAACCTTCAATTGATAAAAAACACCATATCTGCCAAAAGCAATAAAGCAAAATGCAATAAAACAAGGTGTGTCTATGTGCAAAAGCGTTTATATGGTTTCCAGATTATTATTATCCATTAAAAACATGCTATGAGAGAAACAAAATGTTGACAATTATTGAGCTGAGTGATGGGTAAACAGAGATCCATTTTTTTAATTTTATATGTGAAAATTTTTACAATCAAATATATGATACATTTTCTTTACAAAATTTCAACTTTTCCAATAAAACATTATCAATTATGATAGGCTTAACAACGATACTAATTTAGCCAACTCTAACTTTCACTGATTAACTCAACACTGTACCTTTTTAAAATTAAAGCTTTATTGAGATATAATTCCCATACCCTATAATGCACCCATTAAAGTATACACTGCAATCATTTTTAGTATATTCAGAGTTGTGCAAATGTGCTCTAGATTCTGCAGCCTATTGTAGAATATTTTCATCTCTGCAATGAGAAACGCTGTACCCATTAGAAGTACTCTCTATTTCAACCCACCCCTCTCTCCTTCCTCCTCCCCCACCCCACAGCCCTGGACGACCACTCATCTATTTTTCTCTCTCCATGGATCTGCCTATTCTGGATATTTCATATAAATGAAATAATACATCATGTGGTCCTTTGTGCATAGATTCTTTCAGTTGGTAGGTTTTCAAGGTTCATCCATTTGTAGCATGCCAGTGCTTCCATTTCTTTTTATTCCTGAAAATGATTCCACTGTATGACTATAGCACATTTTTGCTTTCAGCTTTTAAGTTTCGGGGTACATGTGCAGGATGTGCAGGTTTGTTACATAGGTAAATGTATGCCATAGTGGTTAGATGCAAAGATCAACCCATCCTCTAGGTATTAAGCCCAACATCCACTAGCTATTCTTCCTGATGCTCTCATTCCCCATTCCCGGACCAGCCCCAGTGTGTTTTATTCTACCCAGTGTGTGTTATTCCCCCCAATGTGTCCATGTGTTTTCATCATTCAGCTCCCACTTAGAAGTGAAAACATGCAGTCTTTGGTTTTCTGTTCCTGTGTTAGTTTGCTAAGGATAACAGCTTCCAGCCCCAACCATGTCCCTGCAAAAGACATGATCTCATTCCTTTTGATGGCTGCATAGTATTCCCTGGTGCAAATGTGCCACATTTTCTTTATCCAGCTGATCATTGATGGGCATTTGGGTTGATTCCTTGGCTTTGCTCCTGGGAATACTATAGCACACTTCTTCATTCATTCATTGGTAAATGGACATTTGGATTGTTTATGTATGTATTTATTTTGGCTATTATGAATAGTGCTGCCATTTGTGTAAAAGTTTTTGTTTGAACACATGTTTCTAGTTCTCCTGGGCATACCCTACCTGAAAGGAGTGCAATTGCTGGATTGTTTCATAACTCTATGTTTAACTTTTGAAGGAACTGCCAGGCTGTTTTCCAAAGCATCATTTTACATTTCCACCAACAGCGTATAAGAATTCTAATTTCTCCATATCCTCTCCAACCCTTGTTATTATGTGTCTTTTTAATTATTTTCATTCTAATGGTATGTGAATTAGAATGGCGAAGTGGTATCTCATTGTGCATTTAATTTGCATTTCCCTGGTGGATAATGATGTTGGCATCCTTTCGTCTGCTTTACTGGCCATGTGTATATCTTCTTTGGGGAACTGTCTAATCAGACTACTTATCGATTTTTAACTCGGGTTATTTGTCTTTGCAAACCTGGGTTGTAACAGTTGTTTACATAAGAGCTAAAAATAGAACTGCCATTCAATCCAGCAATCCCACTACTGAGTGTCAACTCAAAGAAAAAGAAATCAGCCAGGCGCAGTGGCTCAAGCCTGTATTCCCAGCACTTTGGGAGGCCAAGGCGGGTGGGTCATGAGGTCAAGAGATCAAGACCATCCTGGTCAACATGGTAAACCCCGTCTCTACTAAAAATACGAAAAAATTAGCTGAGCATGGTGGCACCTGCCTGTAATCCCAGCTACTCAGGAGGCTGAGGCAGGAGAATTGCCTGAACCCAGGAGGCGGAGGTTGCGGTGAGCCGAGCTCATGCCATTGCACTCCAGCCTGGGTAACAAGAGCGAAACTCCATCTCAAAAAGAAAAAAAAAGAAAAAGAAATCACTGGATAAAAAAGACACCTGAACTCGTATGTTTATCACAGCACTATCCACAACAACGAAGTCAGGGAATCAACCTAAGTGTCCATCAATCAATGATAGGATGAAGAAAATGTTATATATGTACATACAGAAACCACAGAATACTACTCATCCATAAAAAAGAATAAAAACATGCCTTTTGCAGCAACGTGGATGGTACTGGAGGCCATTATCCTAAGTGAAATAACTCAAAGTCAAATACCACATGTTCTCACTTAGAAGTGGGAGGTAGACACTGGGTATACATGGACAAACAAAGTATGAGAATAGACACTGGAGACTCCAAAAGGTGGCAAGGTGAGAGGGTGGTGAGGCATGAAAAATTACCTATTTGATACAATTTACACTATGGAGGTGATGATTACACCAAAAGCCCAGACTTCACCACTGTGCAATATATCCATATAACAAAACTTCCCCTGTATCCCCAAATGTACAAAAATAGTTTTTTATATATGCTCGTATTAAAGAGTTTTTCATATACAAGTTCTGCATTAGACATATGACTTGCAAAAACTGTGACTATCCCATTTTTGGGGTTGCCTTTTCAGTTTTGGATGATGTCCTTTGAAGCACAAAAGTTATTAATTTTGACGATTGTCAGATTTATCTGTTTTTTCTTCTGTTGTTTGTGCTTTTAGTGTCGTATCTAAGAAACCATTCTCTACACCAAAGCCAAAACACATCTGTTTTCTTCTAAAACATTTATAGTCTTAGCACTTACATTTAGGTATTTAATCCATTCACATTTAATGTTCTTATGGGTATAGTGAAACTACTATTTTCTGAATATCATGTCTTTCCTTTGTTATTTATTTTGATTTTTAGAACTTTTCTGGAGAGGCACCTCAAGTAAATTTCTTATATGTGGATGGCACATATAAGTTATGAGTTCTTGACTGTCTAAAAAATGTTTATCCTTATACAAAAACAATAGTTTGAAAGGGTATGGAATTCTGGGGTCATATTCCTTTTTCTTCAGAACTCAGTAAACCCTTTCCCATTGCCTTCTAACATTTCGTGTTTCAGGAAAACAATTCAATGCCAGTCCATTTTTTTCTCCCCTTTTTTAAATAGTTACATTTATACTTATCTGATTTTTAATATTTTCTTCTTATATTAGAATTTATTCAAATTCACAAAATACATTCAAGTGCAGTCCTTTTTTCAATTAATCTTGAACATAATCAGGGAGCCCTTTTGACATAAGGATTTAAGTATTCAGATTAAGAACATTTTCTTCTTTGATTATTTCTTCTCTTCCATTACTTCATTATGTATTTCTGTAACTTATTTTACATAAATATTGAATCATTTGACCTACTCTCATATTTTTGTCTTTTATGATTTTTATGTCTTTTTCTAAGTTCTAGAAGAATTCCTTAACGCCTTTCATTCATTAATTTGATTATACTATTCAATTTTTTTTCCCAATAATACTTTCTGTCTCAAAAAATTCCTTTTGCACCTCTAATAATATCATGGTCTCTTGCTTTTGCTTATATCACTGCTTTATCCTTCCAAATCTCACTGCAGTCACTTGGCTTTACAACATGTTACTTGTTTTCATGGTAGTTCCCCTCTTTTATTCTGATGGACTTTTTTTCACATATCTGGAGATTTTTCTCGGAAATAAGGTCAGGATAGTTCAATGCCAGCAGCTGAGAGTGTGCTTCATTAACAATTCTTTATGTTGATGAATTCTGAGACCAAAGAGAAGGAAATTCTATGTTGTTTGATCTTTGGATTGTTTATCTAACTGACCTTAGTTGCAGAAAATTGAGACAAACATAATCCTCAGTTTATGACATATTATTATCTTCTGTCTGTGAAAAGCCTCCTCCTCTTATTTCACTTATGCATGTATTTTGTTTTCTCACCACCGAGTATTTTCATAACTTCTTCTCTACTTGACTACCTGGAAGGTCCTAATCCTAGCAGGACCCCCATTCTCTGCCTTTACAGCTTGAGTGCAGGTCTAGGTACCACTGCAGAATCACCACTCCCTCTAGAGCCTCCATCCACTATTGGAAGCTCAGGTCTTGTCCCTTTGATCATTCTGCACCTACTGATCCTTGTATGTATCCCCTTGCTGACTCAACAGATGCCACAGGGTTTAGAGAGGCTGGAGGTGAGGGAATTGTTTTACCACTTTCTTGGCAAGTCTCCAAGTATCTTCTCAAGGCAATGGGTGTCAGTGGGCCATTCCCTCCCTAACAATGAGCTTGCTACTGATGCTTTTTGTGGTTTTAGGTGTGGAAGAACTCCACTTCTATTTCTAGTACTTGCTTAGAGCTTTCCCTTTTGTTTAAGCTAGGACACTTCAATGGGAGATTGAAAGGGAAGAAGAGTCAGATACACGGCTTGAAGTTATCATCTAGTCTGTAAAATCCTTTTTGCTAGCTTATTTCTTCACCATGTCATCAGAGGGGAAAGCCTAAATCACAAAAATTAAAATGATACTAAAATTACCTCCCCCAGGCTGCTGATGGCTAATATCTCCCTCTTATTTTTCTGGTAGACCTGAGCAAAGTAGAAAAATACAAATGCTTCTCTGTGAATAATGTGGGTCAGTGGGGTTATTCAGTTTATATCTTTCTCTTCAGCTGACTGTAAGCTACATAAAAGAAAAGAACATGTCAGTTTTTGCTCCATACTATAGCTCCAGTGTTTAGCATACTGTAGCTGACACCTAGTAGGCTTTCATTAAATATTTGTTGGATGAATGAGCAAATCACCTTCAGCAAAACCATGGCCAGCCAGGTGAAATCGACAATGAAATGTAGGGCTTCTGCTGGAACTGCAGTTCCATGTTTTGGCCACAGGAACAAGGCATGGAGTCTGGCTGCAGATAACTGTTTCCTAGTGGCAATGGGACAAAGGAGTCAAGGAATCATGTCCTGTTCCCCCTGCCCTGGCAGGCTTTAGACAACAAACTTAGAACCTGAGCCCATTGAAAGCATGCCTGCAGGAGACACGGGGGCCAAAGGAGTGTGTGACATGGCAACTGTGATCAATGCTATAAATTATGGTGCAGGAAAGAAAGAGGCATTTGATAATGTAGTTGGAGCAGGGGGTTGGCCTGGTCACTGAGTCAGGGAAAGCTTTTTTGGGACTTGGGATTCATACAGATCCAGTAGGTGACAAAGGGAGAGAAAAGCCCTTCTACTCTTTCCTTCTGGCCTTATTCTCTTCTTTCTCCTCTTTCTATTCTTCCCTTCATCTTCCTACAATTCTGGAAGGTGACACAATTAGTGTTAAATGGAGTTGGGTATTGACCCAATAATACAATAAATCAAATAAAATAATTGGCTTTTTTTTTTCCTCTCATATGCCCAGACAGTATTCCAGACCTGGGAGACTGCACTAACTTTCCCAAAATGTGGCTTCCATTTCTGGGTCCCGGGCATCTGCTCCAGGCATTGCCATTTCCCCAGCCAGCAAAAATGGGGAAAGAGAGGAAGAGCAAAGCGCCCAGCTTCTTTTTTAAAGATGTGATCTGGAAGTTGGACATATTAAGTCCTCTCACATCTTCCTGACGAGAATGTAGTCACATAACCATACCTATCCACAGGAAGGCTGCGAAATGTGGCTTCTCGTAGGGTAGAAAAGAATGGCTTATGGAAGAAGCCATTCTTCCATATACATATATTTTATATTTATGTTTATATAACATATGTTTACATATTATATAGAAATTATTTTATACATAGTTATATATAATGAGTTCATAATTATATATATCTTATATATAAGATATATATATATAATTAAACCAAAAAAATAAATTTATCTCTTAGTGCCTCTGATATGGTTTGGCTGTATACCCACCCAAATCTCACCTTGAATTGTAATAATCTCCACATGTCAAGTGTGGAGCCAGGTGGGGATAATTGAATCATGGTGCAGTTTCCCCCATACTGTTCTTGTGATAGTGAATAAGTCTCATCAGATCTGATGGTTTTAAAAAGGGGAATTCCCCTGCACACGCTCTATTGCTTGCCACCATGTAAGACATACCTTTGATCCTCCTTCACCTTCCACCACGATTGTGAGGCCTCCCATGCCACGTGGAATTTTGAGTCAATTAAAACTCTTTCCTTTATAAATTACCCAGTCTCGGATATGTCTTTATTAGCAATGTGAGAACAGACTAATAGAGCCGCTTAATACTTGCCTAAATGTCCCCAGAAGTTCCTATTTCCAGGGCTAGAGCAGGAAAGCTGATGGCCCATCCAGCCCCAAAGCACAGTGAAGGTTCTCCCCAAGTTTTCTCAAACCCCTGCCATTTTGAACCACTTTTACCATTTCTACCACATTTTCATCCATGCCCCATGCACAATCACATCACAGCCCTTATACCAAAGGCATACGCAGCCCTCCTGTCAGGCCCACACACCTCCTGCAGATTCTCCTCACTTGTTCATTACCTCTTCCCTTGTGTACAGAAAAAAATGTATTCCAGAATTAAATATTGCAATAATCAGAGTACCTTAAACCAGAGGTTCTCAATCCCCTCTGCACATCAGAACACCTGGGGAACCATAAAAATATACTATTATCCAGACCTCATCTTAATCATATCAGAATCTCTAGGTAAGAGTTCTAGACTTTAGCAATTTTCAGAACCTCCTCAGGGATTCTAATGTGCAAGATGGAAGATATCCAATGCATTAACATTCAGAAATACTACTACATTTCCACAAAGGGCAGGAAAGGGTTGTTCCTTTCTATTGCCTAAGAAGAGAGTGCCTTGCCTGGCCCTGGCTTGTATGGGGGTGGTTTATCTCATAAACCTAACATCATGCTTATGCTGATCCTTACTAGGGAAAGGAGGTAAGAGGCATCTCTTCTCTTCAACAGATCCACAAGACAGAAGAGGTTGTCAATTTTTCCCAAGGCCATTTGGCAAATCAACAAGCTCCTAATTCACACTCCAAAACTCTAGCCACATGACATTTTCTACATAGCCCAAGGTTAGTTCTCTGAGTTCCACAGCCCTTCTTCATCCATTCACCTTGGATGAAGATCAGGGAAATAATAACCACAAATGCAACTAATACCAAGCACCAAACATTTTTCTACATACTTTACACATATGAGGCTGAGGCACAAAGATGTTAAACAATTTGCTCATAGTCACAAAGTTAAGAAGCGGTCATGCTGGGATTTGAACCCAGGTGGTCTGGCTCCAGAATCCACAGTCTTTATCATTACACCAGACCATTTCTGCTACAGTAAGGAGGTGGCTATTTCTACTGCTGTGACCCTGAGTCAGACAGAAGCCAGCACTGAATTCAGACTGAACCAATTCAGACAGAACCAAGATTTTTTGAGCAACTGTGTCTGCTGGGAAACTTCCAATCATTCTACCGCTCAAGAAGGTTTTGTTTTGTTTTGTTTTTGAAATGGAGTTTTGCTCTTGTCACCCAGGCTGGAGTACAAAGTACAATGGCATGATCTCAGCTCACTGCAGCCTCTGTCTCCTGCATTCAGGCAATTCTCCTACCTCGGCTTCCTGAGTAGCTGGGACCACAGGCATGTACCACCACGCCTGGCTAATTCTGTATTTTTAGTAGAGACAGGGTTTCACCATGTTGACCAGGCTGGTCTTAAACTCCTGACCTCAGCTTCCTAAAGTGCTGGGATTACAGGCGTGAGCCACTGCATCTCAAGGTTTCAAAGCAACAGATGCTCAAGTCCTTCCAGCTTCTCATCCACCTAACCCCTAGGTAATTCTACACAGGAGCCTCTCTAGAACATCTCTGCCCTTGCCTGCTTTCTGGGAATCCTTAGGGGCTGGAGAGACTGTCTTCTTTCTCCCGCTCTGTGTCCAAGATGGCTCAGCAAAGACTGGTCACTTAGCTCTGACCACAGTTACTTCTCCAGCCCTCACTGGGTCGGGAGGTCAGGCAAACTCCTGAAACATGGCCTGAGCTACTGCCCAGAGACAGGCTCTCCACCTTCAGCCTACAGGAAGGGTCTGGCTGCTCCATCAGCCCCAACACGCAGGCTCAGAAGAAGGCATTCAGGGAACACAAGAGTGGCTGTTAAGTAGAAAGGACCATGCATGTTACCCTTTTGTTACTCCCTTTCTGCACGGTAACTCTGACAAGCTCTGCCTGACACAGGGGCATTAATTTTTCATGCCGCCCTGCTGCAGACACACAGATTTGTTTGGAGTGATGATAAATGAAATGCAAATGTGGCTGGAAGCCCCGTGCTGAGATGCCAAGGCTACAGGTCACATCATGCTTCCACTTCATACCCTGTCCCTGCGACACCTACAACTACTGCTTTTACATCTGTTCCTGTGGCTCCTCCAAGCAAAAGGTGACTTCCCGGCAAAGCAAATACAGTATTCTCAGCTGAAAGCAGGAAAGTTCATTAAGAAAAATTCACTCCCCCAATATGGCTTCTGATCTCCTGTTTATCTTCATTTGAAACATCCTGGGTAGATGTGTTTTCATTGCCAGCCGCTTTCATTCTTTTTCTGGAAGCAGGCAGGGCATACATTATAAAATAAATAAATGATTAAGAAACATCTAATTATTGTGATTAGTTTCTTACTTGAAGGTACTTCCAAGCTGCTTCTTATTAAAGTCATTCATCAAGGAGCCACCGTGCCCTTTCCAGAGGCGCCACTCCCGGGACCCGTGCAGGACCTGCTGCCTCACGTAAGGCGCACACAGCTTAATAAACATGGAGAATATTGATGGCAGCGAATTCCTCCCTCAGCCTAAATTCCAGCATGATGGATTGATGCTTCCTAAACATGGCGAATATTTCTCCCGCCATTCATCAGTCCTACCACAAATACAGGTGTCAGCCTGAGCAGACGTCAGACTCTAACTGCCTCCTCCGGAGCATACGTAGAGAGAAAAACCTGCATTTTCCCACACAGGGACATCAATTTTTCATGCACTGCAGTCCCTTGACTTATTAAATATTTATAACAATGTCATTATTTACTAAACAAGCTACCAGGCTGCGTCTGAGGTCCCTGGTGCAAGAGTCCTGAGTGTACAGAGACCTCCCTTCAGCTCCCCGGTTCCTCCAGGGAAACCTTTTTAGTAGAGGGGGTGGGTCTAGCAGGCAGGTTTCTCTGTCTTCCTTCAAAAATGCCTCCTAAAGATTTTTCAAGCCTTTGGTACAGACAGCTTGAGGGCCAGAGGTATGGCACCCTGCTGGAGGCTAAAGTGCCATGAAGCTAAGGGGGTCCTTGAGCCAGGAACTCTTCTTCCACTAGGAACCCACCTTTGCCACTCAGGGTTGTCACACTGACCTCACCACTCCTTTGATCCACTCTCCAAGTCATTCTCCTCCCTGGATGCCACATTCAAGAACCCTGATGCTTCCAGGGGATGGCAGATTAGAAGCCTCTAGGCAACTGACAACCTCATTCACTCCACGAAAATCTACTGAGTGCTGGCAGGTGCAGGGCACTGCCTCAGGGGCTGGGGGTGATAAGACAGGGAAGAGCCAGTAGGCTGCGTCCCCAGCATTCACTCTCCAGTGTCTTCTGGGCCAGAGCCCATCCTCCACCCCCAGCATTGGCTAGAAATGCCAGATACTTTCTTTGCTTTCCTTGCAACTCAGTCATGGGCAGGTAATCTGAGGGAAGAGTTTCAGGGAGCAGAGGAGGTTCTGGGGAATATTTTCCTTTCTGGTTAAAAGACACCTAGATGGAGAAAGGTCCCATCTTCTTCAGCTGGATGTTGTCAGGTTAACAGAACCATGGAAGCTGCTGAAGGCCAGATATGAGAACAAAGGCCACCATGCTGAGAACGGCAGCGGGAAAGAGAAGAGCCTGGATCCTTGGTGGCACTGCTGAGACATGGAGCCAGCTCCTGCACCAGCCCCGCCTCTGGCCTGCTCATTACATGAGGCTTTTAAAATGTCTTTCCCTCACCATTAGAATCCCACAGTTATATAAATTATTGCAGGCAAGGTAACACTGATGGATGCTAAAATTAGCAGGTCAATGTTTGGGGAGAAACAGGATAGCTGCATGGTCTAAAAATAGTATTTCTACCAAGACATATATATTAATGATGAGGGAAAAAAGTAGCTTTACAGTGGCGAAACCCACCTGAACCAAGTGATCAAGGTTAATATCACCAGTAATAAGATATATTGATGCCTCGCTGACTCCTTTGAAGCACCAAGAAGGGCACATTGCTTTGGTGATATTCTTGCCCCAAAATGCAAAACTTCAATCTAATCATGAGAAAACATGAGACAAACCCCAAATTGAGGGACATCCTATGTTAAGTGGCTAATGCTCTTCAAAAGTGTCAAGGTTGGCCAGGCACAGTGGCTCATGCCTATACTATAATCCCAGAACTTTGGGAGGCTGAGGTGAGAGGATTGCTTGAGCCCAGGAGTTCAAGACTAGCTTGGGCAACATGAGGAGACACCGTCTCTACCAAAAAAATACAGAAATTAGCTGGGTATAGTGGTGCATACCTACGGACCCAGCTAACTAAGAAGGCTGAAGCAGGAGGATCACTTGAGCCTGGGAGGATCAAGGCTGCAGTCAGCTATGATTGCACTTCTGTACTCCAACCTGGGCAACAGAGCAAGATCCTTCCTCAATCAATCAATCAATGTCAAGGTCATGAAAAACTGAGCTGTCACAGATTGTAAAACTGAGGAGACAGGATAATTATATGCAATGTGGAATCTGGGATCAACTTCTGGAACAATGACAAAAGCAAGTGGAAAAACTAGTGAAATCCAGATAAAATCTGTAGTTTAGTTAATAGTATTGTACCAATGTTAATTTCTGGCTTTGAAAATTGTACTACGGTTATATGAGCTGTTGACATTAAGGGAAGTCAGCTGAAAGGTATATAGGAATCCTCTGAACTATTTTTGCAACTCTTCTATAAGTCTAAAATTATTTTTAAGTTTTAACAAATCAACCCAAGGAGGCTCTCCTAAATTCTGTTACCAAAAAGTAGAAATTGCATCACTTCCTGAATTTGCTGTAGTAAAAGTTACTCAGGGACTACAAAAAGGACCTATCAATCTAGAATTCCCCATCTAGTAATTGCTTTACAAAATGCAGTTGTGTATGTTTATTGTTTTCCTATTTAACATGGTGTAGGGTATCGAAGTAATAATTGGAAAAAAAAAAAAAAAAGCTTTGAAAGAAAACAGGCCCAGGTTAACATTCAAAGCCTACCAGTTATTTCCTGCATGACTTTTAGAGGGGTTACTTAATCTCTTTGGGCCTCGGTATGCAAAAGTATAAAATTAAAAGAATGGAGTACGTTGGTTGGAGATTCTGTTACAGCTGAAAGTATCCAGAATGACTCAAGTAGCAGAGAAAAGGCAGATAAATGATTTTTCTCTCATGGTAACTGCATTCCATTTGGGGGAAGACAGATGATAAACCAGTGAACAAATAAATAAGAATTTCAGAGACTGAGAAATACTATCAAGGTAAAGGAAGGTCCTGAGATAGAGAATGACCATAGAGTGGAAGGGTAACTGTGGTTATGGTGGTCCAAGGCGGTCTAAGGGTCCATTTGAGATGAGGAAGAACTTGCCCCACGACCATCTGAAGGAAGAGCATTCTTGGAAAACAGCCAAGACCCTGTGTTCAAGACACTAAAATGTGGCTTCTGTGCCCGAAGTGAAAGAAAAATGACATAAGATGGTGCTACAATCTGAATGTTGGTGTCTTGCTCAAATTCACGTCAAATTCACACGTCAAAACCTAACCCCCAGTGCAACTGTCTTAAGAGGTGAGCCCCTTAGGTGTTAGGTCATGAGGGCAGAGCTCTCATGAGTGGGATAAGTGCCCTTGCAGATGAGGTTCGAGGGAGCTTGTTTCTTCCACCATATGAGGACACTGCTGGAAGGTGCTATCTATAAGGAACAGGCTCTCACCAGACACTGAATCTGCTGGAGGCTTGATCTTGGACTTCCCAGCCTCCCGAACTGTTAGCAATATGTTTTCATTGTTTACATATTACCCAGTCTAAGGCGTTTTGTTATGGCAGCAGGAACAGACTAAAGATAGAATTGGATAAGTGGACAAATTTAAGAGGTTGATAAGGGGCTCCAGTCTAGAGATCATGTGACTTGGACTTGGTGTTATCAATGGAGAGAAAGAGAAGTGAGGCAGATTAAGAACATAATTGTGGAAATTGGACTGGACAGGGCTTGTGAATGGATTCACTGTAAGGAGGCAGTTGAGGGGAAAAGCAGTGTCAAGGATGGATCCTTAGTTTCTGGACTGAGCAGCTGGACTGGATGACGATGTCATTTACCAAGATAGGAAGGCTGGGGTGTGGGAATAGAGCAGAGAATCATGTTTTGGTGTGTATCTCCACACTGTTTTAATACCACCTTACCTCCACGTTTCTGTTCCTTCTGGAAGCTGGTCCCAGCTAAGGTCAATTATTATTATTATTATTATTATTATTATTAATTTCTGGACAGGTGAACTAGAAGATAAACTCCATTTGAGGAAGGGAGTTTTTTTTTCCCTGTCTTTTTGCTAATGTACCCCATGCCCATGCCAGTGCTTCACATAGCAGGTGTTCCACAAATGCTTGTTGCATGATGAAATGAATGTTCATTCTTATTCGAGATGACCTGAGGCAGCAGAGTCTTATCACAACTACAACCCACCTTTGAGTCCACTCATTCCCTAGCTGCTGACCAGGAAATATGGTGAATTCTCTCTAGAGGAAAATATCATCAGCCAGAGCCTACACATTTTTTCCTACACACTGCCTAGCATTAATCAAAAAGCACACCAAGAAGCAGAACAAAAGAAAAATACAGACAATAGAAAGAAATCTAGTCACTAGATACTAGTGTTATCAGAGCCAAGCTTTAAAATAACTAATATGTTTAAGAAAACAGACAATCAAATGAAGAATTTAACCAGAGACCTAGAGTCTCTGAAGAAGCAAATGTAAATTCCAGAACTGAAAACACCATAACCAAAATTAAGAATACTATTTGGTTGGTTTAGTAGCAGATTAGACTTAGCCAAGGTGAACAGAACTGACAAATAAAAACAGATGCCCAGTTAAATTAGAATTTTAGATTAACAACAAATATTTTTTCATATAAGTATACTCATTCAAAATTTTGGACATGCACTAAAAAATTATTCACAATTTATCCAAAATTCAACTTTAATAAGAATGTCCTTTATTTAATCTGGCAAGACTGGAACACAGCTGAAAAGATTCGTTCAGTAGAAACCATCCAGACTGAGGTATGGTGATGAAAAAGAAGAGAAAATACAAAAAAAGAGTGAAAGGTATATTTGAGACATGGTGGAAGTCTAAAATACAAAACACATAAAATTGGATTTTAAGAGAGGACAAGAAAAATGGGTCAGAAGCAATATTTAAGGCAATAATACCTGAGAAGTGTCTAAGTCTAATATATGAAGTGAAGGATAAAAACAAAACAAAACACCATCCTAATAAAACTGATGGAAACCAACGAGAGGCATCTTGAAAGCAACCAGGAAAAAAAAAAAAAAACAACCACACATATCTTCAAAGAAACAGTAATGAGACTGATAACTGACTTAAGAACGTAAACAGTGAAAGGCAGAAGGCCATGGAATGAGGATGAAGTAATTCCAACCTAGGATTCTATTCCCAGTGAAAATGGCCTTCAAGAAGACAAAATAAAGGCATTCGCAATCAAATAAAAAAATGCATCATTGACACGGGCTTAAAAAGAAGAGAGTTGTTCAGGCTGAAGGAAAATGATCTCAGACAGAAGCAATCAAACACTGGCCTGAAGGAGTGACGAGCAATGGAAAGTAAATACGTTAGTAAATCTGAGTGAATATTGACTAATAATGTTAGGTTAGATGACATGCATAGAATTAGAATGCAGAACAAAAAGAACTGGTGGAAAGGGGTAAATGGAACTAGTGTCTTAAATAAAACCCTTCAAGGGGTAAACAAATACAAATTTTTTTCTTTGAATCTTATAAATCAAAAGCACACGTTGAAATTACAAGGATAACCTCACAAGGAGAGTAAAAGAACAAGATGAGGTGAAAAATTAGAATTTAAGAAATGCTTTGTTCTGTAAGGTAAGAAGAAAAAATTTTTAATTTAAAATTTAAAAAATGCTTGATATATCTAAAAGAAAAAGCAAGAATAAATATAAGTGGGACAAATATCCAAAGGACAGTAAGATATTACCAAAAAAATCAAATACATTAGTGATTATATTAAATGTAAATAAACCAGCCACTCCGATTAAGGCTCATGAAGATCATGTAGACGCTGTTACCCACATTTTACAGGTGTGGAGAATTTGAGCTGTAGAGTTGAGTAACCTGCCCAAGATTGTCCAGCTAGCAAGTTGCACACCAGGACACCCAGGATTCGAACCCTACAGCCTGCTTGTGGGCCCTGAGCACAGGTGTCGCCGTGTTCTCCAGCCACCCAGCATCGCTTTCGGTCACCCCTTGTGCACACTGCACCCAGACTCCTGCAACCAGCTCCGAACCGGCTCTCTCATGACACATCTTGTCATGGTGACCACGCGAAGGGACAAACTGGATCTCTTCTCCCCTAAACTAAAATCTCTTCCTGGATTTTCATTTACTACAGGACAAATGGACCAGGTCATAAAAGGTCCCTCTAGATGGGATCTCCCACTGCCTTCATCCAGTGCTTCCTGCCTTCCTGCCCTACATTCCAGGAAGACTGGACTCGGGGTTTCCAGAGAGGGCAAGCAGTTTTCCCAGCCTGGAAAGTGTGAGTTATGCCCCACTGCCCCCTCCTCTGACCCCAAGAGGGTCGGCTCCTCCTTTCCATCACTATTGTTATCATTATAAATGGCTCCATTCAGCCAGTGCTTTCTCTGTGCCAGGCACCATACTGAAGGCTTAAAGGCATCCGTTCCATCTAACTCTCACCACTCTGTGATGCACGTACCAGTATCCTCCATCTTCTGGATAGAAAGACTCAAGTAAATTACTAATTCAGTTAGTACATATTTACTAGTAACTGCTATAAGCTTGGCACTCTTAGATGCTGAGAAAAGAGCGGTGAATAGAACAGGCAGACCTCCCTGCTCTCATGTAAGCTCACCAATCAGCTCACATAAGCCCTATGGTAGTTGTGATAAGTGATATGCAGAAAATAAAACAGGGAGGACAGAGAGTGTGTGAAGCAGGTTGCAGTGTTCTAAAAGGGTGGTAAGGGAAGGCCTCAATAAAGAAGGTGATATTTGAGTAAAGATGGGGAGGAGATGAGGGAATGAGCCAGGCGGGCATCTTGGAGAAGAGCATTGTAGGGACAATGCCTTGAGGGACGAGCAGGGAATAAGTGGCAAACTTGATGAAATGTTATCTATTGGCCAACCTGACCCCTGACCGGCCAGTGAGCTCCTCCAAGTATGGTCACATCCCCAGCAGCTGGGCACACAGGAGGCACTGCTAAATAAAGGAATCTGGACTGCGATTCTGAGTGAGACAGTAAAGGGGCACCTTCGCCACCACAACTTTTATGGACTTGGAACCCTGAGGCTGGCGCCATCCATCCTCAGTCCCCACTGCACAATCCCCACTTGCTGTCCATTCCACACTCTCGGAGGGGAAAGATGTATGACACCCGTATCCCTATGCCTCTGGAACTGGATCTGTGCACTGAGGGCCTCTCTCAGGAGTCCTAAACAAAGGACAGGCGCAGGGGAGGTGAGCTAGATGCAAGATCCCTGAGACCCCACGGGGGCAGGGAGGCCTGATTCCATCTAGGCACTGCAGTATCATTTGCACCATCTTTCTGCATTCCACAAGAAAAATGGAGGTGTTAGACATGCAAAGAGCAAGTCAAACTGATGTCAAATCCCTGAAAGCGGTAAGAAACGGGTGCAAGGCCACTGGGTTATATGACATAATGCAAAAATTTGTCCTCTGTGTGTAGCAGGTGTTAGCAGGGGGTAAAAAATATAGCTAACACCAGACCAAATCAAGACCAAATTCCATAGGGGTTTGCACAAGGTAGACCCAGCCCAGCCAGAAAGATGAAATCTACCAGATGACCCTCATAAACAGGCCTGAGAAGGCAACAAGGCTGCAGAGAGGAAACCTGGGGCATAAACCTGGGAGAACCCAGGAAGGAGTGAAGAGCAATGGAAAGTAAATCTATTAGTAAATCAAAGTGAATATTAACCATTCAACATGTTATGTTAGATGATGTACACACAATTAGAATATATGACATGGAACCCAGCTGGGAAAGAGAAAGGGGACACTGGGGTGGGGAGGACTTCAAGCCATATCCAACAGTCAGAGTGACCCTAGAATCACCCACGGGGCAATTTAACACACAGGAACATGCAGCCCCAGGCAAGGGGTGTTATCACAACTTTGCTTTTTTCAGGAAGATTTACAGGGACCCAAAAACTATTCAGAGAGATGTTGACCACTCAAGTATTGGAAAATAATCTTCCAAATCCTAAGACAGGCAAAATGATCCTTAAATATTTGTATAACTATTAAATCTACATATTTTATGACATGTGAACACCTTGTGGCATAATGAAGCCTCTTGAATAATCAGTGTACTACATGGTTAAACTCTCTAACAGAACCTAAAGCAAAATTTTATCATTTAAAATTAGAGAGCTTTAGAAGTGCCGTACCTAGCACGGCATGTGGTTCACACTTGTCAGGAACATCAGCTCCCCCCACCCCAACCCTAAACCATAATGCTGTGCTTTGGGAAAACAAAATCTGCCCTGATCTGTATTCAACACTTTCCGGGAATAAATAATGGCTGGTGACACTCCCCTAAACAGAAACCTCCTGCTCACTAATACCATACTCCTCAACTCATACTGAATACACACTTCCCCACTAAGAGGCTAACAACCTGCAGGCTGGACTTTTTAAACGCATTTGATAATACCGATCTTTAGTGCCCTCAAGTGGCCACACGTGATGTCGGGAGTTCTGTCCTGAAGGTTGGGAAAGACAGCTGGAAAAATGTTAACAAAGATACTAAATATCTCAGATATGAGACAGCCCAGAAAGAATGGTCCTTATATAACTATTTCTTCCCATCATAAATGTTTAGCAAAAGAGGGAAGATAATGCAAAATGTTGAAAATCTGTTGCACTGAATCGGAATGTGAGTTTTTGTCCATATCCATGGCCCAGGACAAACTGTCTCTGAGGAAATAGGAATAACCATCCCTGATTGTGAAAATTTTACAAGCATGGATGTGATTTTTTGTTTTTTAAACTTCTACACAGAGAACATATGTATGCATCTTTCCGTAACTTGTGTTTTAAATTAAACACTGCAATTTTTAGGCATTCTGTAAAGACTGATGCAGTACAATTATCAATTTTAGTCAACACCAAAAAGATACTGGTTGGCAAGGGGGAGAAGACAGGAATGTGGCTTGAAGAGGACATCATGTAATAAATTTATTATATTTTTGTTACATTTCCACTTTTCTCTTAATTCCAACTGTATGTTATATAATCAACTGCTGTTTCAGAAATAAGATGTTTCAAACATAAAAATATAAATTCTGCTTCTTAAAAGTGCATACACTTTGAATAATAAAACATACAAATAAATAACAGAAATCAGTGACACATCTCATGCACTTTTTCTAAAATAAATTTAGAATGTACAATACACTTTTCTTCCAGCCTCTAGGAAAGACATCTTGCCTTCCATAGTACTGCACAACTGAAAATAAAAATGACACAGAAATCACTATGCATGGTGCAGGAATAATATCAAAGCACTCTGTGTACAGTGGTATGACATGCAGCTTTTACGACAGCTATAGAAATTCCAGTGTAAAAACTGAAGAGTTCAATCAATAAATGATTTGTGTCAATGGGGCTTGAATTCAATTTTAACCAGTGGTGAGAAGCAGTTGGTGAGCAAACCTATATGGAACACAAATGTGTATTGCAGAAATACTGTAACTGCCTCTGCATTTGGTATAATGACACCACACCGTTTATAATAGCACCTAGGAAAGTTCATATTGCATTTGGATGATTGCAACAGATATCGCTATTCTGGGTGGCCTTTCTAAAGAGACATTTCCAACTTGTATGTTTACTTATATCTTTATTCCTTAAAATTGAAAACACCAATAAACTGTGGTGGTGTTTTATAGGCAGTATGAGACTCAACAGAACGAAACCACCTGAGCAGATTACTTCGAAGGTGTTGTAGTGCATTCAGCTCACCACAGATTAAAACTAATTTGCCTCCATAGTTAACATAGAGTGCCAAATTTTGGGGTATGTATTACTTGATTTGTAAAAAAAATAACAAAAAAATAGTGACGAGGGTTACACACAAACAACAACAAAAAGAAACCAAACAAAATGTTTCACATTCATTTTCAAACTAAAAAAAGAATTCCTGAAACCACATTCTGGATAAGTAAGAACCATCCTAGAGAATGAGGAAAGTAGGAAATTAGTGGCAGCCTGGGGTTCACTATTATAATTCCTACAAAAAGGCAATCATTCTATCAAAAGCAGGGACAGGTTTCCCAAGTCTAGGAAGGTTGTTTCTTACTTTCTTCTTTGACACTTTCTAGCTTGGAGTGACTTCCCGATTCCCCCATGGGTCTGGGGAAAAAGGCCCTGGAGAATGATGCAAACTCCACAGCGACACAGCCTGCTCCAGCAACTAAGACCACCAATTCCTACTAGATTGGCGAGTGCTAGGTCATCCACAACATGCTCCAAGCTCCCGAAATGTGCCTTGAATTAGAAAGGCCCTCATATTTCAAATAAGAGTTTGATATCAGTATCTCTCAATTCTTTTTTATTCTTATTTTTTTGCCTCTCATACACAACTGAGGAATCGGAAGTCACTCCTGAGTACTTCCTATGGCAGTGATTCTCACCATAATTCTCAGTAAAGGGATGTCATATCATAGTGATTCTCAATCCGAATGCAAATTACAAACATGCAGAAGCTTTAAAATGCATGCTAATTCCTGGAGCCCACCCCTACATGAATTAGATCAAAAGCTAGGGGCTGGAACCCAGGCTCTGTATTTTTAAAAGTTCCCCAGCTGATTCTAGCCAATGTGGGTCTTTACCATCTCAGCCAAGTCATTCAGAAGAGGCTTAAGAAAATCTTGAGAATACATGTGTGAGATTCAAAAAAGCCTCTGCTGTGTACCCCTTCTCCCCAAAATTGGGAAACACTAGATTTAAACAAATGTAAGACGGGTCTAGAACCCCATCCACTGCACACTACCATAAATTCCATGGGCTTGGTCTAATTGTGACCAGTGGCTGGGAATCCCCAAAGCTTTCCAAAACAGCTCTAAGTCTCTACAAAAGCATCTTTAAATTCTTAGCACTATTTGAAGCCACATTCTTTCCTTGTGACCACAACAGAACCCTTGAAGATATAAAAAATTAAAATCTATAGAAAATGGAAGGTTATTTTTAGAACAAAATACTTTAGGAAAAGTCTTCAGGCTAAATACAGTATATACACCAACGATGTATGTTCAACATACCAATTCCAATTCTACTTGCAAAATACTTAACAATCTCACCAATGATCAAAAATCAGCAGAGAAATACATGAAAAGCAAAACAAGAAATCACATTCATGCTCTTCTACACAATGAGTAAGCCATATTCTGAAAATCACAAATTTAAAAGTAGAGCTCCATACTCTAAATGTTGCCTTTTTTTTTTTAAGACTTAACATTTCGTGTCTATGTTTTATTTGTCGCTTGCATAGGTAGTAACAGCATGCTTTGTGGGTTATATGGAGGCCATGCACAATTGTTTCCATTACTTGGGGGGAAAAATGATTGGTCACGCTCAAAATGCGCCTGCAAAACACTTGGAAAGTTGATCAAAAGGCAGTGTGAGACAGTGTTCAAATAAAAGCACTGGATTTCTCCGCAAAACATGTAGTAGGGTTTAACAATAACGTACCCTTTATGAAATCAAAATTAAAGACAGCCTGCACATTAACAGCTACTTTTTGTGTTTATGATAGGCACTGATTTGTCAGGAAATGTTACCTTTCTCAACTACGAATAATACAAAGTTCCACGCACCTCCAGAATACGTGTTTTATTGAAACTGTGCTTATGATTTGCATACTATTTTAAAAATCCAACCCAGAAAAACACTAGTTATCTTTGTATCCAATAATATAATAACCTACATAGGAAACAAACATTTCGGCTGTTCAGTAATTTGTCTGAATGAAATGTAACGTTTGATGCTCCTCCATATGAAATAAAGCACATTTATTTCAAATGAATGAGCTTTGTTCACAGCTCTTCTCTGCCCCATTTTCCCTAAAGGCTGCCACTCTTGGTCCCTTTACATACTGCTTCTATTTTTTTCATGATAGTTACTTTAGAGGAATGACAATGTTCCCCTCAAATCCCACTTCTGTCTCATACAAACATACATGACCCAATGTTAACGTAAAGTGACTGTCTAATGGATTTTCAACCCCTAAATAGTAGAGACAGCTCAGTCTGAAAAGGTGGATGTAAGAGTAAAATGTCTCCAAAGATGAAGGGCACTTTTGGTTTCCAGACAGAACAGACTTGTTCAAGAAAACCACAAGCCTTAGCCGATTTGACTGGAATCCACATGATCTCTTTGTCCAGGAGAACTGTCACTCCATTTAGGATACCATCACATCCCCTGCTTGATGGGCTGTGCTCCCAGGTCTCCTCAGCTACAGCAAATCCCTGAAGCTTTCAGTTTTGCCTTTGTGCACAAAGCAGGCCCTCTGCGAATGTTTGCAGAATGAGTGATGAAAGCAACATTGCAAAAGCATGTCAGGTAGCCTCACAGATAATTACAATATTTTAGCACACCACAAATACTCCCACATCCGTTTCCACTGCTCCAGCATATTATTACTTACTTTCAGTTCGGCTGCTTTTAGGATGAGAAAATATAAAATGGACGGGAAACGGTATAAGATGACTGGAACCTACTGGTTTGAGTTTCCACATTGTCTAAGGGATTACCAAGGCAAGGTGTAGGGCTATTTTAAGGAATGATATGGCCCAGTGCAATGGATGTTTACAGGAAATCAAGGATTAAACTTTTTTAAAAAAGCAAACAAACATTACAGATACAACCTTACTGCTGGTGATTATTTTGCGCCTACCAGGAAATGACTGCTGTAATCAGGCCCATCTAGTTGACAACCAGAAACCCAGGACTATCATCCTTAGCAGGTAATTTTTAACCCCAAAGCACATACATGTTCCTTTGCTAAATATCACAGGGAAAATTTTAAAAATAAAAAAAACAAGTCCCCAATCCTACCAATGAACTATATTTAATCAAGTAACAACTTTCCTATAAGATATTTCACACCTCCAGGAGCACCTCCCAACTTCTGGGCCAAATAACCTTTCCTGTGGCCTAAAGTTGTACCTAGTAGTTGCAGATAATAAAATTTTCACTGTTTACCAACCATGCAAATATAATAGCTTCAAGATGTCTAGACAATGCCTTACTTTCCTGATTTTTTCCTATTAAACCTGAAACAAGGACTAAACTCCACAGACATACAGTTTATAGACACTGAAATTTTATTTCTAGATCCCATGGAAAACCAAAGGGATTTGTAGAAACTTTTTTCTTTTTTTTAAGTCACTAGACAGCATGGAAAATTCATTCCTACATGAATCAAGAATAAAAATATTTGTCACTGTGAAAATTAAACTGACTACAGCAAAAAAGAATTGTTATTAAAAACCTTTGCCTAATCCAACTATAATTGTTTCAGAGCTTCAGGTAGGAGACTTCAAATAAGATCTACCTATTAAACAAATACAAGACAGACATTCAATTCCTGATACGATCTGATGTTTGGTGTGTTTTTTTCAGGAGATAAAAGCAATATAGAGAATGAGAGTGGTGGCTAAACACTTATGGGGCTCTGACGTGCTGGGCTGAAAGCAATGGTAACATCGAAGGCAGCCAGCTGCCGCAGCTGTACTGAGCACAGGAGAGTAGTGCTGCTGTGAATACCCACCAGAATCTGAACAACAAAATGAGGAGAACGAGTTAAGAGGCGAGTACAGGGCTGAGTGCAATGGACAACGGGCTCATGGTCAATGAATCACAGGGAGCACTGTGGTAACTTTCACAAGGTTGAGTATGTAAATCTGAAACACTGCCAGGGGTCTACAATTCCAGCAACCCTCAACATAAGTGGCCCCCAGACTTCCAAGTTACCAGCTCATGCTCAAATTAGCAGCAAAATAAAGTTAAGTAACCTACTAAAAACATTTCCCAAGAGATATTCTTTGGGGAGCGGGGCGGGGGGGATAGGAAAAAAAAGGCAATGTAGAATTCATAGCTATGCATGCATATGTGTTACAGTTACTTCACACAGCAATACTGAAAAGGGAGGTTATATATGGATCTGGGAACCAAGGGTTCAAGAAGAACTTCAAGAGTCTGACAAAAAACGCTAATATTTAAAAGCACATAAACTTAGCATGCTGTATTTAGTGGCAAAGTAACAAATACTATTTAGAGAGAACTGGGACCCTCATTCTCTTGACCTTTTTTTAAAAAAGAGAAAAAAAAAGCTAAAAATTGAGCAGGAAAGTATTGCCAGGAGACCTCTCAAAAGCTCGCAAAACTATATATTTCACTTATCTGTGAGTTTTTTTGGGAAGTTCTCCTTTTTCTTGGTAAGAAATGCAATTTGCACTGACATGGCCAGATGGAACACACTCCAAAGCCTGCTTGTGAGTTCTGGCCATGAGACGAAATCTTGAGAACAAAGAAGAAATAATAAATGAGTTACTGAAAAGCAGCCCTAACTGAGACTGACAGACAGGATCTGAAGTGTGTATGTAATACGTGATCACACATCGCTTCAACATACCACCATTGGCTTTTGGCAGTAGGCAACTTCCTCTCCAAGCTATAAGACGAGGGAACATGAGCCCGCAGACACAGGGCATCGTGGAGCTTCCCACCTCTAATGGAAAAAAGCAACACCTGACAAGGAAAATGATGTCCAGTCTTTCACCCAGTTTAGAATCCAGAAGTTTTTTCCAGGAATCCGTCAAAGGTGTTAACTGCTCTACTACTGTGCAAAATTCCAACGGCCTTAGCTAGTAATTTTAGAAGGAAAAAAAAATTAAACGAGTGACTCGCTTTCTGGCTATCCAATCTGCCACCTCATAGGATCTATCCCAAGAGTCAAGACAGGTTTTCGTGCACACATAGCTGCAGATATGAAGGTGGTGAAAGGCTTCATTTCTACCTCAAGAACGTCTATCTGTGGCAGTAGGAGAAATGACACAGTCACCCACATGGCACCTTCCTCTTTAATCCATTTACTGGTGTGTATCCACCCTAGACTAGTTGAGTATATACCTGAGAAACATTAGTGTTAAAATATTGTCCTTTACAAAGACTGGTAGATGGGGCGAAAGTGCAGAAAGCAACAGTTTTTCCCTCAATTTGTTTCGTTGTTAAAGTCACAGTTTTTAGAGTTCCTGGTGCCACCCAACAATCCACAGTAAAGACAAGTCCTGCTCAGAAGAAACACAAGTCAGTTCCTTCCCCTTCTACACACTAATGGTAGCTTTACTGGTTCACAGGTTTCAAAACCCTCATATCCAAAGAAAGTCATTAGAGTTCTCTAGAAAGAAATACGTACAATTGCTAAAGGGACTGTGCTGGGTATTGTCTATGATTATTCCAGTTAGCTTGGTGTCGATGTTTTGCCTATGGCTGTTATTTGGTTCAATGGCAGAATAAGGCGACGCTTTGAACAATTTGCAATTGAATTACACACACACACACACACACACACACACACACACACACACACAGTTGGGCATGTGACTCAAAAAAATACAAAACAAAAGCACAGGGGACTTTGGTGGGAGGGGAGGAGTTCTAAATAAATAAACATCTTTACAGATAAAACACTTTGATTGCAGAAATATCACTGAGGTTTTTGAGAAGGCCGTGCAGAGGTTTGCATGCTAGAAGATAACTTTTTTGAGGATTTCTCTGCAGACTGCCTGCCACCAGGAGACAAGGGAACTCCAGAGTCTAGCTGGGAAGACTTGGATTTGCGAGCGGACAGCAGGGACTGTTTGGCAGAAGCAGGGTCCTTGGAGACAAGCTGCTCTTTTCCCTTTGCGTTTGCATTTGGCTGCTGGGAAGCTGAAGGCTGGTGGCCTTTCTCTGTCTTGTCATCCCCGGTGTTCTTACACACGGACTTAGAAGAGCTCCCACCAGCCTTTTTAGACAACAAGGCTGTCTTGCCAAGATCCGTTGAGCGCCGGGTTTCCTTCTGTCTCAAGGCTGATTTGAAAAAGGAGAGCCCCTTGTCCTCAGACTTGCTGTCCCTCTTCAGACCAGACTTGATGCTTGTGCTGGGGGAGCGCAGGCTGGCCATTGAGGAGCTCCGCACATGCTTCCCAGCCCCCCTGCCCTCCACTGCTCGGGCCTGGCTCACACGAGGGGAGTTGGGTTTGGAGGCAGAGGTGGCACTGGCTCTGTCGGAACCCAAGCTTTGTCTGGAACCCTCTCTACTCAAGCTCCGGTCTGAAGTCCTGCTCTTCCCAGACGAGAAGGGGCTCCTTGTGGCAGGGCCCGAGGCCTTTTTGGCAGATGTGGAGGAAGCAGTGTAAGCAAGGGCTGAGGCTGACTTCTGCTTCTGTGGCGAAGGAGATGACATGGAGTCCTGAGATTTCGGGGATGACTCCTTTTTGGGTTGGGCAGGGGCAGGAGATGAATGCCGTCCACTGCCCCTGGAAGAAGACTCTGCTTTGCTGCGGGAGCGGGAGGGCTTTAGGACTTTTACAGGAAGAGGAGAAGAAGGGGATGTACTTGAAAGTGATGACTCTTGGCTTGCCAAAGCTGGTCTCCCCTTCCGCAAGCTTTTCTCTGGCTCAGAAGCGCCTTTGGAACCGGGGGATCTCTTGGTTGTGCTCTCTGGTTTCTTGGCGAGTGAGCCTGGGTGGCTGGGGGATTTCATCTCTTTGACTGGAGAGCTGTCTACAGAGTCACTCTGATCTACATAAGCGATCTGATTATTGTTATCGAATGGATCAGAGACTAGGGGCAGGTGGTCTCCTTGTGCTGAATGTTTGCTCTGTGTATCTACAACACTGGAGTTCAATCTGTGGGTGTCAGATTCGTCTTTGAACACACCTTCCATGACAGCCAGAGGGGCCCGGCCCAGAGCCTTGTGCTCACGGCGACTGTGACTATTGCTTGGTTCCTGGTAACTGCTAGAAAGGTTCCGCAAGCTACCAAAGCAAGAGATGGAGACCTTGTCATCTGCTGCCTCCCCAATCTTCTCCAAAGTGGAGGCAGAGCTGTGAATTGGAGAGTCCCCTGAAAATCGGGATGGAGAACTGGAGCGCATCTGCAGCTTAGCAGACAGGGACCACGAAGGTCTCATGCAATTTTCATTGACGGCCAAGGGGCTGGTGACAGAAGATCTAGATGACAAACTCTGACGCTGGACACTTCTCACAAAAGGTCGAGTTGAAAAGCCTCCTAAACACAGCAAAGAGAATGCCGTAAGCTAAGCCAGTGAAGATGTTCTAGCAACACTGTAAGTCACTGAAGGTGAAATAAAGGTAAGCCTTATGGGATAAAAGAAGCATGACTTTCAGAGCCAGCCCATCTAGGATCAGGGAGTAGCTGTGTGGCTTTGACTTCTCCGAGCCCATTTTCCTTATGTAAAAATAGGGACATTCTAACTCAGGATCATTCTAACACAGCAAACTTGTATTTACCTCCTTGCTCTACATCAGGGCTTGTTATGACTTTTCCTGTGAAGGCCTAGATAATAGATGTTAGGCTCTGCAGGCCACACATTCAACTCCACCACTGCTGCATGAAAGCAGCCACAGGTGACACATAAGCAAACGTCTCTGACTGCATTCCAAAAATCTTTACAAAGAAAGGCAGTGGGCTGTATCTGACCTATGGGGCTATAGTTTGCTGACCTCTGGTCTAACTCACAAGGCAAGTGTAAGAATTAAATACAATCTTAGAAGTCCTGTGCCCAACAGAGCACCTGGCACTCCACAGATGCTGTGAGCTATTGACCCAGCTTCATTACACCTTCCTGAAGGTGATCTGGGGCTCACAGAAATGAAGTCCTTGACCAAGATTACACAACTTATTAAAGGAAGAGCTAATACTTGGACTTAGAACCCCTTAACCCCCAACACCACTCAGTTCTACATGTTAGCGGGCCTGTAATTGTTGACTACAAAAATGGATCAACACAAAGAACTAAAAAGACTTGGATATCATATACTCCTACTTTCAGTGACTTAAAACTTCCAAAAAAATTCATAATTAGAACCACACACTCCCATTTGGTGTGGCTCAAAACTTCCTAAGAAAATATTCTAAATTAAATTTTATACACAATGATATTATAGTTGTGATATTTACAAAATTCTGTCTTTAGAGAGCCTAAGAAATAGGCTCTGTTCTATGGGCACCACCCAGCACCATTATACAATGATGATGCTTAAAAGGATATTGATTTCAGCAACTGCACTGCTTAAAAATAGATTGAGGCAAACCTTATTGAGGCTTATTGTTAAAATGACAGTGAGTTCTAAGTTTAAAAACAGTGTTGAAAATAACCTCTGCCTAAACAAGCAAAGGTTCACTAGTCAGTTTTCCATGAAATGTGAGGAGCCGGAAGGAGCTTAGGAACTGCAGTCCAATGTTTTTATATTACAAATAAAGAGGCAATAAGCCAGAAGAGGTGGCAGAGCTAGACCTATGGTGCAGCTCTCTTCGCCTGGCATTCTTCTTCCAGACTCTTGCCATTTTAACTCAAAAAATTTCAGTTTTTCAGAATTATCCATCACCACTAGAAGCAGATTACAGCGATCGAAATGCTGGCTGCAGACTGAGACTTGTTGGCAGATGAGTCACTGTGCTCATTATAGAAGCTGCACTCACTCCTCCTTCCAGCTCCCAGTACTGTGGCTGCCCGGTCCTTCCCACACCACCTGGGTCCCTGTTGGAACTAAGGCCTATCCTGCCATTACCCAAGCAGCAAGTGAAAGTTTAAAAAGAAAAAAAAAAAAGAGTTCAATTTTTTTAGCAGAATTTTTACCACCTCTATGCAAAGGCAACAACAGTTTTTGTTCTAGATGCTTCCACGCTAAAAAGAATATCCCACAGCTTCCTCCCTAGAGAGCATCGTGGTGGAACACTGAGGTGCTCCTGGGCCAAGAGAGCCAGGGGCCTCCATGCCAAGCCTGGAGCTGACTCCCCACCAGGTGGCCTAGGCCCCTTCCAGCTATTCTACTTTTTAAAACACTTTGGAGGGTGGGAGGTGGGGAAGTATACACTGGTATATAAAACTCCAGCCTCCAAAAGAGACCTGAAAAGTGGAAAATAATGAAGTAGAAGGAGAAAATACTGGGACACAGAAAAGCAAATGACTCAGTTAATACAAAATGCTTCTTAGGATCGTAACCGACAGCTACGCAGCTCCACTCCCTATAGCTCCCTTTGAGTCCTCCTACCATCTCCATGGGACTTAGCTCCTAGGAAAAACACAAGGGACTCTGCTGTGTCTGTGAGTTATCATTCTGGAAATCTGTCACCAAAACCCACACCCACCATCATCTTCACTCCTTTCTCCAGTCATCTCCACGGACTCAGAGAGCGAGGCCAGGGAGGTGCGTCTGGAGGAAGCTGCAGAGGTCACACTGGCTGGCTTGCTGCCTGGGAGCCGGCTCACCCAGTGTTCGCACAAGGAAGAACTCGTGGAGCCTGCAAAGAGGAAAACAGGCATGGAGGTCAGGTCAGGGTCCCTCGGCCAGCCTGAGCCACACACACCCTCATGAAAGTACTATGAGCTGAGCTGGGGGTACTGATGTCCTCACCCCAAGGTCAGCACCAATTCCCATACCCTGCATCATATCGTGCCTGCTCGAATATCCCAGTTAGGATGAAAAGATGGAAGGCAGATTCTGGACACATGCAATTTGTAGTAATAAATGGCAAGCATAGGGATACTTTATAATGCAAGGTCTGAGTCTTAAGAATTGGCAAGAGAATGGAATAGACAAGCATTCACACGTTCACTCCACAAACATTTATTAAGCACCTACATGCCAGGCACTGTTCTAAGTAATTGCAGTAATATTTCTTACATAAAGAGAAGAAAGGAGGTGGCAGTCAGTGTACTGTTTTTCTCTCAGCCTCACTGTTTTATGGAAATTTTAAACCATTTCCGTAATACTAGTAATACACACACACAGACATCTATACGTCAATCTGCCCTGTCTGTTCCAGGAATACGCTTAAATATTTATTAGAGCAAGAGACATTGCTCTCGAAATGGAGTACATGAAGCAGCATGACTGTCACAAGTAGACCTTAAGAAGGTATCATTTCTGAGCACATCTGAGACTGGCAAAAGAGCACTGGAGTTCCCGTTCTCTTAAGTGAGTAGTTGTACAGGGGGTGGGCTTGGCCCCCAGCAGGGAGTCACTCTGCTTGAAAGATGCCTTGTTTTCATTGCTCTGACCTCACCCCACTGCAAGCTTCAAGAGAAGCAAAGGTTCACAGCCCCTAACCTGATCTGATCGCACATTACCACATTCCAATCCTCTGTCACGCTCTCTTGAAGTCCAACTCTGCACGCAGAAACGTGTGTCCACTTGTTTTGATTATGTGTGGCTGCATTCATTCATATTGTGTGTGGGTACTGGCCCCTGCGTTTATTAAACACAACAGGCGGGATGTCATCCGGCTAAACCCAAGCCATCTAATATTATCACAGCCATCAATCCTTCTCCTAACAGAATAGGCCAGTCTTCTCACTGGAAAAGCAGACTATTTCTAATGGTCCTTTATGCTTTACAAAATGCTTTAACATACATTTACCCAATTGGATGCTTACAATGACCCCATGAGGTAGGCATTATTATTATACCCGAATTATAGATGATCACTATGTGTCCCAGATGGGACAGGCTCCAGGAAACCCCAGAACAGGGGGTGGTATGCCACGCTGCTTTTCAGCTCAACTGTGCATTTATCCTCAAGTACACATTGAGAGCTTTCTTTGCATCAGGCCCCAGGTGAACTCTGCAGGGCCACAGCTGCTCTCACATTCCTTCCCCACTTCCTTGACTACAATCATTTAGTTTCCAGGTTAAATGGAAATGTGAGGACTCATCCGATCAAACCGACAGAGTCATGAGACCCTCCAGAGAGGTCCTCTAGACCATTCATTACAATCTTTTGCTCTGGAAAAAACAGCCCAAGAACAAGAGTGAACCTCACCTGCCACTGAGCTGTTGGCTGACCACGACGGGATGGCTGTCCGCCTCTGGTAGAAAAGGATGTATGCCGTCTGCGTGCAGACCTCATCTTCTGACAGCTGCTGCACGTCGCTGTCGTCAAAGCAGTACCAGAGGCCATCCACAGAGTTCTTACAGTACGCTGCCAAAGAGAGCGCGCCATCAGCACCAGGGGAGGCGGCACCAGCCACTTCAGGCGACCCACAGACACCATCTCTCTGGCTCATCTAATTAACTCAACATTTTAAGGCTGCGTGTAGCAACACAAAAGAGGTAAAAACAAAACAAAACAAAAAACCATTCTAAATTCTGTATCACACTTGAGCAAAATGTCTTCAGAAATTCCAAACTATTCCAAGTAGATGCAGTTCTATTTCATCTTAGAAAACACACATATTTATTTAAACCAGTGGGTCTCAACCAGGGCCCTGTGTGTGGCAGGGTGGAATTTGGCAACCAAAGGAGACATTTTTGCCTCTCAGGGGAGAGGTGCTACTGGCATCTAGTGGGTAGAGGCCACAGATGCTGCTAAACTTCTGTAATGCACAGGTCAGCCCTGCGTGACACAAAACTGTCTGGCCAAAATGTTAACAGTGCCAGAGTCAAGAAACCCTGAGTTCAGTGTGTTGCAACATTTCAGTGTCTGTTAGAAATAGAAAATAATATGAATAGAAATAACAATGTAATTATATGATAGAAGATAATATTTAACATGTACTATGTACCAAGCAATTTGTTTAATCCTAAGATTTGTTCTTTTATTATTCCCAATTTCCAGAGGTTGAAAAAGGTTAACCTGTTTGCCCAAGGTCATGAAGCTGGTGTAAGGCAGGAGCCCAGCTCACTTCAGGTTTATCAAGTCCTTAGCTTGCACTTGAAGCCCTATCCTGAGTCCCTGTGCTCAGGGAGGAGCACAAACCATGCTCCATGGAAGTTCCCCAGCAGATTGAGAACACATGAGCTCATGAATGCAGGAGGACTTCTTTCCAGTCCAAATTCTAAGCCTGAGCTCGAAATAAAGAACATTCAAGTAGCAGCAAGAAGACAAAAACTTAAGTCATGAAGCCAGTCATCCTGTGAGGATATATATCAAAGAGTGTTATAAGCTTGATGCAGAAAAGTACATTATGATCACATTTTCTAAAAATATGCACTTATTTGGGGTGAGAATAAACAAATGCTAAAATATTTAGCTGAATGCTGGAAGAGATTCAGGATGGTCCCCAGGTTGGGGCAGATAAGGTCCTGAGAGGCACTGGGAGTGACTCCCCCAATGGGCCATAACCACTTTTGCAAGTATGGAGTCTTAAAGGATAAAAGGGACTCAGGTGAGAAAGGGCTACACCAGACAAGTCTCCCAAAAGGAGAGCGGAGTATGAATCTATGAATGGAGGGAGGAAGTTATTTGCAGCTGAGGACTTACCAGAACCAGAAGGGAGAGAAATTAAAATGCAAGCAGCAAATGGAGCTATAAGGACACAGCAATTGTTTGGCCAATGGCGTCAAGTCAGGCTTGATGTACCCACGACCCAACTGGGGAGTGGCTGCCATTCTTGAGTGGTGAGTGGGAGCAGAGCTGTGAGGAATGCACCAGGAGGAGGAGACAGAATAGCCTTCACTCCTTTCAGCCCGCTCCTCTTCAGGATGGTCTCTTCTCAGTCACAGTGTGGAAACTGAGGCAGCACAGTGTACTCGTTGATTACAAAATAATTCTACTTACTTTTCTTCCTAGCACTACTTTCTGAAGTATTTTCTAGGCCAGCGCTACTCGAATTATGGCGCATGGACTGACACCAGCCCACATGAGAGAAGCACCAAAAAGGAGAAAAGCACTTAAAAAATTTGTATAGCAATCTGATACTGCCATGCTTTTTTATTGTACTTTTACAAAAGCACTAGTTCATAAAGGATTGCAAGTTTTAAAGTAGAAAAAAACCAAGTCCTTCATCACAGATGGTGTGAGAAGCACTGCTCTAGACTCCTTACACAAGTTAGCCATTCAGATACGATCGATTATAGCTAGAACCAGTGCAAAATAAAGAAAACCTCAAAATAAACGTTCCAGGCCGGGCATGCCTATAATCCCAACACTTTGGGAGGCTGAAGCAGGAGGACTCCTTGAGATTAAGAGATCAATACCAGCCTCGGTAACACAGTAGGCCCCGACTCTACAAAAAAAAATTTTTTTAATTAGGCAGGTGTGGTGGCATACACCAGTAGTCTCAGCTACTTGGGAAGCTGAGGTGGGAGGTTGGGGATGCAGTGAGCCACAATCATACCACTGCACTCCAGCCTGGGTGACAAAGCAAGACCCTGTCTCAAAAAATAAAATAAGCATTCCAAATGAACACTTAAAAATGGGGGGCAGGGGTGGGAGAGCATAAGGAAGAATAGCTAATGGATGCTGGGCTTAATACCTAGGTAATGGGATGATCTGCGCAGCAAACCACCATGGCACACATTTACCTAGGTAACAAACCTGCACATTCTGCACACATACCCCTGAACTTAAAATAAAAGGTGATGGGGGAAAAAAGTTTAAAAAAAAAGAAAAAGAAAAAACTTAAAAACAGAGTGTCTTTAATTCAACAATACTAAGAATATTTAAAATGTTCTCTAAACTAAGACTCTAAACATCTCATATATTTAAAAAGTGATGTTATGGATGGCCTCAGCATGAGAAAGGGGAAATAATATAGAAAACATCTGAGCACATCCTGGGCAATGGGTCCCTTGAGGTCAGCATGACCACTTTCTGGCTCACTGACATGGTAGCCAAGTTAGGGGACAGTGGCTCAGGACACAGAGCTAGAAAGATGTGTCTGGCTTCTAACCCAAGCTCCTTCCACAAAACTGTACGGCCTCTGAGGTAGTTGGGGGTTTCCAGGCATTTTTCAAGGTCTCTTCTATATATAAAGACCAACATGATGCTAACATCTAGCCCTGTCCTATTCTTTCCATCAATTTCTTCTTAGAAACTACGAAATAAGCCAGTCCGTATTTTCTTGAAAAACAGTGTTATAAATGGAAAATGCATTATTTACCAAAGCTGAGCTGGGTGAATGTCAATCAAGGATGCTGGCAAAGGTGTTACCACACTGGATGAGTTGTGAAGTCAAATGACCCCCACATCCCTTTCCATTCTAAGAATCCACAAGTATAGAATTCCATCACTCAGTACCAAAGAACACAGACATGACTGGTAATGCCACAAAAGCAAAAACCAAACTAGACACAGTATCTGTGCACATGCCCCCCATAAAACAGATATCTAAAATATGGAAGATACCAAATAATGCTATTATCATCATTGAAATATGGTTTAAACCAAAGTATAAGGCAAAACTATATCTAAACACTTAATTCATGTTAACTTTTATCTTCTATGAAGTGAGAGCATCTTTTAAACTTCTCTAGCTTCTTTCTCTCCTTGCTTCCTAGAGCAGGCAGAGGCAATCCAAGCCATTCCATTAGGAGATGCACTCAAAGTTGGGACTGTTCCTCTCATATACAATTGCTGCCTGCAGCATTTAAATATTTAAAGAACTTGTGGCAGTAAAATGAGTTTGAAAAAAAGAAAAAATATATAAAGAACTTGAACTAAAAGGGATTCAAGAAAAGATTATTGTGTCCAGTAATCTTCCCTGACTCCTGCCCTCCTGGAAGGGAACAGACTGAAAGAGTAAGTATGAAAGGTGGGAAGGCCAATGGACTCCTCTGCCTTGGCTCATGACTAAACGCTAGAGAAAAGAGTCCCAGAGATTTAACAGTACCCGGGACTGCGCAGACCACACCCCTCCTCCACCTCTCCCTACCTTTATAAATCAATGGTCAGCAATAGCACTTGGGGTCTTGTTGCAGAAATCACTGAATGAATAAAGAAAGTCCCTGAGAAGTATACATGTATAACACACTGAGTGTGAAGGATGCAGAAATCCAAATCCTAGCCACTCACATGGATAACCAAATTATTCACATCAACAAATGAAGCCCTGAAATCTGCCTGGCTCTCAAAGGCTCATGCAGGTCCTTAACCCAATTATGCCATTTTCGAGACTCAATCTCAAGGAAACACAGAATCAAAATTCAGAAAAAGTGAATGAGCATAACGATATTCATCAATGTTACATGAAAAGTTAAAAACCAGAAACAATATAGACGTTCAGCAATGGGGAATGATTAGATAACATTAGAGGTCTATCAACAGAACATTCTGTGGTCATTAAAAAGTATTTATAAAAAATTAAGTATCACAGCAAGCTACTTCTGTTACAACACGAGGCATGAAGATGAGGACACAGAAGCACATGTGCCACTCACCCCTCACTGTGCTGCTGTGCTTCTGAATTTGTGACCTGTCTATACACCCCACTGGTTTGTGAGGTGAGGCAGCAGGTTCCTCTCCCCAACAGCTAACACTGCCCCTCCAGTACACTCTGGCCTCTCTCTCCTCTGGCTCCGGCCTCCGCCCACTGCTCACACCTCTACCACAGAACTCATGACGTGGGACCCCTCTTTTCAAATTGTATCTGTACCCATGTCTCCCCCTACTTGATTACACTCTCGGAAGATAGAGGCTAGGGACCTACTGACCTCTGCTGTGATAGAGCCCAGAGCAAGCAGGATGTGAGGTGCTCAAGAAATGTTCACTTGAACAACAACAACGAAATGCCAGTATAATCCCAACAGTGGAAAATAATGGCAAAAACTTAAGAAAAAACACATCAAATACATACTACATACCAAAATATTACCTACATATGGTAGAGCATTGTTCAGCCCTAAAAAGGCAGGAAATTGTGACACCCACTACAACATGGATGAACCTTACAGACATTATGCTACATGAAATAAGCCAATCATAAAAAAAGAACAAATATTGAATGATTCCATTTATAAGAGGTACTAAGAGTAGTCAAATTCACAAAGACAGAAAGTGTAGTGCTTGTAAGGGCTGAGGGGAGAGGAAACGGGCATTAGTGTTTATTGTACAGAGTTTTAAGTATGGGAAGATTAAAAACTTGTAGTAATGGACAGTGATGATGGATGTGAGTGTACTTAATGTCACTGAACTGTATACTTAAAAATGGTTAAAATGGTACATCTTGTTATGTATATTTTATCATATACATATAATAAATGTATATTTTATCGCAATTTCAAAAATGTTACTAGCAATTCTCTGAGTGACAGGCCCACAGATGATGTTATTCTTTCCACGTCTAGCCTCTAAATTTCATGATGAACATAGTTGCTTTTAGAAATGACAAGGTAAATTTCACCTTAAAACAGAAAGAAAAACCCTTCTAAGTCACTTTAAAGACACTATAAAAGTGTCATCCACTTGTATCCCAGCTACTCTGGAGAATGCGGCAGAACTGCTTGAGCCCGGCAGTTCAAGGCTGTAGTGAGTGATAATCACATCTGTGAATAACCACTGTATCCAGCCTGGGCAATACAGCAACACCTCATCTTTAATTTAAAAAAAAAAAAGCAGTTTACAATCTTTTAAAATAAGGGAGAAGTGAGAACCTCAAGGAAGTCCAGCAAAACCTTAAATGGTGAGTGCAAGATAGGTAAACAAGAGTAAATCCCCAGTTGACCTGACAATACCATCTGCACATACCATTCCCCAATCAGTCAGTCAGGTACCTACTAGATGACCCCACTCAGGAAGAGGAGGAAGAATGTTCGTTTATTTGCTCTTGGACAGAGATACAGAAGATGGAAACTGCCCTCGCAGTTGGCACACTGCCTACTGGAAGGGAAATGAGGCTCTAAAGCCAAGTCACCCCGTCACAAGCAAACCCATCTGAAGGACTCGCCAGCACAGACACGCAGCCTCTCACACTGCAGACCTGTGTAGTGCCCCCCTTGCATGGTGCCATGGTGATTGCACACAGCATACAGGTCATAGATGTAGTCCTCAGGGTCCCTCCCGAGTCCATAGGGCCGTCTCCACGGGGACCAATGGGATGGCAAGCTCCAGCTGCTCTGGCTCCTCTTAACCACATGAGGTGTCATGTCCAGGCCAGTCAAGGGGAACTTGACCATGTTCTGAAGTTTCATGCGCCTGTCTCCTTCCTGTTGCAAGAAGAAAAACAAGTTCTGGTGATATTTTAATGCAAGCAGTAGCGGGGAATACGGATCCTATCACATAAAGTGGTTTGAGTCACCTATCTGATGTTTCCCAAGACATACAAAACATGGAAACAGATGATAGATTTAGCTATCTAGAGGAACAGGCTTTAATATCAGCTAAGGTGGAACCAGGAGGATTCACATAGAGGCAGTAAATGAGCCTCTCTGAGTCTTCATTTCCTTATCTGTTAAAAGGCTTTAAAGCATTTCACTTACAAAAGAAATGACAATTTCAGGTGGTTCATCTGATACCTCTGTCAAAGAGGCATGAAAACTGATGAAATGATGGCTCTGTGAAGGGCAAACCACAGTGCCTGGCGCAGAAGAGCTACTCGCTAAGCAGCACCTGTTCTCCACCTCCTCCAACAGGCACATCACAAGGCAACACTGACTTCACTTAACATACTCACTCAGGGGCAATCTCAGATAATCTGTATTTTCCATTAAGCTTATAGGGAAATGCTTTGAAATCCAGCCATCAGCTGAATAGATATTGACTGCATGTTTCCTATGTCTATGGGAACTTCAAAAAGTTAACCAGGCATAGATATGCCCACCCTGAGGAGCTACATATGGGTCTGCGAAGGGAAGAAAAATGTTCATGACAGAAAGGGACAATGGGTCCTGGGTGGTCAGGAAGGCCAGGCTGAAGAATCTGGACCATATCCTCTGAGGCTTTTATGGAGGAGGTGGTGTCACCAGAATTGTGTGTGAAGAACTGTGTAGGCAGTGCACAAACGTTTCAGAAATAGGAGTAATAGAGGTGAAGAAATCAATTTAAAAACAGAGACAGTGACCAGCTGAAAAGTAACAAAATGTCTGAACCAGTAGGGTGACAGCAAGAATGGGGAGGGGACACACAGGAGTTGATGAGGAGGCACGGCCATACCTACATGAGAGAGACAAGGAAGAAGAGTCAAAGAGGACACTGCAGGTTTGCATTTGGGTTGCTGGAAGGGTGGTGACAGGCCTTCACAAGAAAATAGAAAGCCAGGGAAGTTACTCTGTGTCTGAGGAAGGAGACAGAGCAGACTAGGATCCAAACCCTCGACCAGCTTTCCACTTGCAGATCTCAACAGAATATGCAGTGGATGGCAAATGCCCACTCTTCACTCCCATAGGAGGTGAACCTCAAACCTCTGTGTGAAAGCCCCGGACCTGGGGACCATGTGTGTGTCGCCCCTGACACATCCACCTCCTCAGACAGTCCTGAACATCTCTCCATCTCTACAGCCACAACCTATTCCATCCATTTGCAGCCCACCCTGGATGACTGCAACAGTCTCCTCCAGGTCTCCCTAATCTTCATTTTTGTAGTCTCTAATTTGTTCTCTACACAATAACCAGAATAATCTTTTCAAGAAAACACAGATTTGGAAGGTTGCTTCTCTGCTTAAAACCCTTCATCAGAATCCTACTCTACCCACAAAGGGTTCCTGCCTCTTCTATCAACTCCGGCCAATGCCCCACCCTCTGGAGCGCTTGCCCAGCTGGCCTGCTCCAGCCTCTAGTGCAGGCCATGCTTTCTCGACTGCCGAGCTGTGTACACACTGCTCCCTCTTCCCCCATGTGGGTGATCCCTGCTTCCACCTCACCTAGTAAAAGCCTGCTCATCTTTCAGATACAACCTTAGAGTCAGGCATCATGGAGTTCGCTAACGTTCACTTCCCATTTACCTCTTACAATGAGACTGTCTAGACAATCCTAACCTCAGGGAATAGACAGCCTTTTTGGAAAAACTGACTCACAAAGCAATACAATTCAAAGCAGATTTTCTTTGTATTTATTTATGACTCATCTCTCCAACCATACAACAGCTCCTCAGGAGCAGAACACCCATTACATTAGATAGAAATAGAATTCTACCTCCCCAGAAAGGATCCCTACATAGTTCTTTTTAAATCCCAGAGTACACTTAACAACATTTAAGCACAACATTTACAAGTAAAGAACAAAGTAAAATATCTGCAATATGAACTAAAATCAAATGTTGCCTTGGGAAAAAATTAAAACATAACCCTAAACATGGGGCAAAAGTATGTCCATAACATACACAGACAGGACTCATTGGCTCAAACAGGGACACCAAAGAACCCCCACAGGGCCCATCAGAAGGGGGCATAAGAAACTTGGTCACAGCTTGTTTGTTCCTGAGATAGAGGATTTCCGTACCTGCCGAAATCTCTTTAGATGTATAATAAGCACATCAGGCAGAGTCCACAGGCTTAACGTAATGCTTCCCTGCTGCAGCTGCTTACAATGTGGGCAACGCCAGGCATCATCAGGGGCAAGCTGAAAACAGAAGCATGACTCCCAGTAAGTGCCACTTAATGCAAAACAGTGTTACGGCTGGACTAATGCCTTAGCCAGGGCATGGTGCAACTCAGAATCTCTCTGGAAATTGCAGATGCTGGGCATCAATGGAATAACACAATCAAAAAAAAGTGGCCAGAGCTGGCACTCAAACTCTAAACAAATTCTGCTTTGCTGAATAGATTATCCCTCAAAGAGGAACAACTAAATTAGTAAATATAAATGTTAAATATTACTTTCTCTTTTTTTTTTTTTAAACAGTGCCTCGCTCTATCACCCAGGCTGGAGTGCAATGTTGCGATCTCAGCTCACTGCAACCTCCACCTCCCAGGCTCAAGAGATTCTCCCACCTCAGTCTCTTGAGTAGCAGGGACCATAAGCACACACCACCATGTCCAGCTAATTTTTTTTTTTTTGTATTTTTGGTAGAGACTGGGTTTTGCTATGCTGCCCAAGTAGTCTTGAATTTCTGGGCTCAGGCGATCCATCCACCTCAGCCTCCCAAGGTGCTGGGATTACAAGCATGAGCCACTGCACCTGTCCGGATGTCACTTTGTATGTGCCATGCTCTGCTCTAAATACTGAAATTATTCAGTGATCAATACAGATGGAGTACCTGCTCTCATGGAGCCTATACTGTCAATTCTCCCTTACCTTCTGTCCTCCAGTAAAACTGGCTTCATTTCTGTTTGACAGTCTTGCCAAGGACCTTTGCTTCCTACCCCAGGACGTTTGCTTCCTTTATTTACTTGTTCCACTAGACTATAAACAGCCTGAAGGCAACAACGTGGTTTATTTTGGCCCCTGCTATTTCTCCAGTACCGGTATGATACCCAACAAAAGTGAGCCCCTGTTAAAAGGTACCTTGCTAGCATTTTAGATCAGTGAGATGTTTTGTGGATATCACTGCTGCCATCTAGTAGATTTGCTCATAATCTTTATGCTGCTACCAAACATCTTCAAAGTCATTAAAAATAATAAAATAAATAAAAAGCTAAATAGGGCAAGGTGCCATAGAGAATTTACAATCAACCAGTTTCAAAGCCAACTATTTCATAATTGAGTGCAAAACTGGAAAAAAAAATGTCTTATGAAAAACTATTATTAAAGAAACTAGCTAAAAGCAGTGTGGGGGAGACAAGACTCAGTGGAAATATAAAAACTATTTTCAAATATTCGAACAATAGACAAAAATAAAATTAGGACTTCTGAGTCTTAATGAATTTAAGAAAGAGAACAATTGTTGGCTGTAGTAACAAGTGGACATATTTCAGGTTAACTTAAGTCACCGTCACAGCTGTCCAGAGAAAAAATGGTATATCTTTGTCTTAAGAAGGCAAACCCCTCATAACAAAAGATACTCAAACTGAGGCTAAACAATCACCTATTTGAGATTAAGTAGAAGAACCCAACCACTAGAATAAAGGAGTTTTAAAGTCCCCTTCAATCCTGAAATTGCATGACTCCCTCTATTTAAGCGTGAAGGGTTACAACTGGTAGTCTAAATTATAATCCAGATATCAGTGCAAGGTTAGATGAACTCCAAGTACTCTGGTCAATGTTTCTAAGGTGCCTAAACAGCACACAGGCCTAGGCTCCATCCATAGAGGCTTATTTATCCATCTCTCTTTCCATCCATTCATTTAAACCTGCAAAGCTTTGCTGTCTACTTTCTGGTCTATATCTACACTGTTCACTATGGGAGCTGTTAGCCACCATGTGTCTGCTGGGCACTTGAAACATGGCTAATGCAACAAACAAACTGAATTGTTTACTTAATTTTAATTAATTTAAATGGGACCTGGGACCTATGTTCTTAGTACGAAAAAGTCAAGAATCACTGTTTTAGTTTCTAAGGAAAATATCTTAACACTTCTAAATTGAGAAAGAAAATGACCAAAACTTGATAATTAACCATTAAAAAGAACTAACTACAAAGGTTCAGTTCTAGAGTATCTCAATTAATCAAGGTTTTCTAGAAACTTGCAACTTTTTGTTAAGGTCCTAAAAGCAACAGCACTAAGATGCCCATTACATGCGCGGACTTACATACATGCAAAAATCCTGTGGTAATTTCTGGGGCATAGTTTGTTTCTCCACTGTCATCTTGCCATGCCCCACTCCCTCCTGCCCTGGGCACCCAAGAAATGCTGCCCAACCTCTTACCCGCTCCTCTTTGGTGTAAAGTTGGAAACACTGGGATAAAGTGCAGGTTTGAGGCTGATGATGACGCTCCCTTTGCAGACGAACACTTTCTGCATCAGGGATATACTCATCCTCAGTATTTACAAACAAGCTGCAATTGGGAGGAAAAGTATCTATCAGAGAATGTCTTGCAAAACAGATGCAAAAATAAAATTACACCTTTGTGAAGTGGCTACAAACTCATAACCAAAAAAAAAAAAAAAAAATCAATGTGTAAGAAAACAAAAGTAGTGACCCAATTTTTCTATATTCCAAAATGTTCTTGAAAAGTTCTCTGTATACGAAGTTATTTCCATAACTAACTAGATTTTTCTGGGTTTGGCCACGAACTGTACTGGTTAAATCACATACTCCTCTCCTTTATATGTAAGAACACACATCTTACATCACTTTCTAGAATTAAAAATCAAAGTAAATGAACCTATATAGTAGTTAATGAATATATAGCTTCTTTTTCAGCAGTGGACAAATGTAAGGTTCTGAGATTGGGAAGACAGAATGTACGGGAAAGGAATAATAAACTGCTTAGGCAAAGGGTTAACAACACAGCTGGATACTTAGCTAAAAAGAAGGGAGATTTGTGTTTCAACTCATTTAACATATCAAAGGTGTGCTACAAAAATGATGATTAAAACAATGTTTCTATAAATACTAACTTTAAAAATACTCACAAATCTCTTGTCTCCTTGTCCCACTCGACTACTAATTTCACATGAGCGGTGCCACCTGGTCCGCAAGATTTTAAGGCCCTATAGAATATGTGGAGAGGGAAGCCACATATTATTTTCTAAGCAAATGATTTTACTTAATGTGATTAAGTCCTACCCAAAAGTCATAATGTGATTAATGAAAATCTTCATCATAGTTCCCGAAGAGAAAAAGTTTTTGACAAGACCATTATAACCACTGATTTAATAACTATATTACAACTAAACTGAAAACCCCGGCCAGGTGCAGTGGCTCACGCCTGTAACCCCAGCACTTTGGGAGGTCGAGGCGGGTGGATCATGAGGTCAAGAGATCGAGACCATCCTGGTCAACATGGTGAAACCCCGTCTCTACTAAAAATACAAAAAAATAGCTGGGCATGGTGGCGCATGCCTGTAATCCCAGCTACTCAGGAGGCTGAGGCAGGAGAATTGCCTGAACCCAGGAGGCGGAGGTTGCAGTGAGCCGAGATCGCGCCATTGCACTCCAGCCTGGGTAACAAGGGCGAAACTCCGTCTCAAAAAAAAAAAAAAAGAAAACCCCTTAAATTAAAAAGCCCGATACAGTATTAATAATAAAGAGACTGGAAGAAATTTAGTGTCATGTTATAAGGTTATTGATGATCACTCTCAGACAGTCATTATGACTTTCCCAACTTCTTTTTTTTTTTTTTGATGGAGTTTCGCTCGTTACCCAGACTGGAGTGCAATGGCGCAATCTCGGCTCACCGCAACCTCCGCCTCCTGGGTTCAGGCAATTCTCCTGCCTCAGCCTTCTGAGTAGCTGCTTCCTAACTTCTTGCCCAATTTTTCATCTACCCAAATAGACACTGAACAGCAGTCACTGGGAACAAAGTCAGCCCTTGCACCTTTCCACCTCTCCACTAACATGCCACACCTGCTCTGGACTGCACCCTTTTTCCTCCTTCCTCCAAAGCTACCCGCCCCCAGCTCAGTGGCTCCTTGCCATCTCCTGAGAAACCCAGAACTCAGTTAATATTACCCGTCTAATCTTGTTTATGTTGTGTAATACTTTGGATCACTGTCTAATTTATTAGCTCTCATCTCTAAATCCAAACAGTGAGCTTTCAAGCAGAACCATGCTGTACACTTTTTTAAAATCCTGAAATACTATAGTATTTGTTGAAAAAATCATTTTTATAATTATTATAAAAATGAGTTTTCATATTTATATTATATATATTCATAAACATATGGTGTGTGTATATATGTATATTATTTTATTAATACAATAAAGTATTATAAATATAACAGATTTAGACAGCACAGAGGTAGCAGATTAGAGTGACTAATTCTATGAGGCAGGTTGCGGGGGTGGGAGGAGGAACAGTATAAAAAAAAGGGCTTAAAGGAAAGAAATTATGAACACAGGTAACTACACATGCAAAGCACACATTAAAATAGTATCATCTGTTCAAACAAGCATCAGGACTTTAACACTGCTGAAAGTTTGGGATCGTGGGGAGAGAAGAGCAAAGCCTGACCAAAGGGGAGTAAGTGAAGTTCAAACTGTGAAGAGAACTTCTTATACTGTGGAATGCTGGCTTTATCTTTTAGGCCACAAGTCACCATATAAGGGTTTTAAGGAAGCATGTGGCCTGATTAGAACGTTACTTTACAAAACTTCATTCCTGGTGAATATGAAAGTGTAATTTATCTGCAGTCCTAGGACATACGTTAATTTGCTTTAACACGAGTCCTCCAGGGCTTTTCTTATTTCAAGAAAGATCATCAAACATATCATACCCAAGCATGAAGCAAAAGTAAAATAAGGACTTAATTTCAAAATGAGCCTAAAGAACCCTGCACACTTATTGGAAATTATATCAGACATCACTTGAAATCACACGAGCATACATGAAATTCTAGAAGGAAATTTTTTTTTTTTTTTTACCTTTCTACTGTTGGATGGCACAGGGGCTGCTCCTCCTGGGGCAGCAAGTATGTTATTCCAACAACACTGACCACACGCAAGCTGAATGGACACACCTGCATTAGATGTTAATGAGAATTAAGCCAAATTTTTCTTCAAGGGCATCTGCTTCACAGTGGCATTTCCAAAACAAATTAGAGTTACAGTAAACTGTTCATTCTGCAAAATGCTTCTCTATAATGTTCTATAAGGTTGTTGAGCCACTCTAATACATTTTAAATAATGATTTACCCAAATGCAATTTACATGTCAAATATATTTTGCAAGACAAGTAACACACTGCCTTTACTAAACATCAGCTTAATGGTCTTCCACAGATACCCTGACATAGTAATAATTTTTTAAATATACAGATAGACATTCTACTAAATCCTTTCCAAGCTGATCATGTACTAAGTGTTATTAGATAAATATTAGAAAGGAATATGGAGCAGTTCAAGGAAAACCTTGCAGTGGCTAGTTCCTTTCATAAAATGAGAAATAAATTCTCAGTCTTGGGAATCTAAATACAAGAAACTCAAATTTCATTGCAATGACTGTTTCTTCACTGAGTATATAACCACGCTTTGTTGGAATAACAAAATGCTTACAAACCTGAATGCAAACCGTAGGCCTCAAGAAATACTTCATCTTCTCCAAGATTTCCTTCTGCAGAAGGTCCCAAGCTACTGTCTTCTCTAAGTGCAGCACAAAAGGCAGTCCAAATCTAACATATATCAACAACGTAATCACCTTAAAATATGGTAATTCCTTTAACACTTATCTTTTGTTCTTGATCTTTTAAAACAGAATCACAATATAATTGGCTTTAGGACAGTTCTCAAAAAAAAAAAAACCCCAGGAAATTTAATGGTAACTCTTCTTAAGGAGATGAACAGCTTAGACTTCAAATGAAATTTAATAGCCAATACACCAAAATGGCTTCTAGGGGAGTATGGTACTAGGGCAGCAGGTAGCAACAGGGCATGATCAGTGAAGAAGGAGGTACAGAGTGGGTGGAAGTGGACATGAGCCAGGCAAACAGCACAGGTCAAACCCATAAGGGGTTGGGTACCAGAGGACTAGCTAGATAGGGCTGGAAGATCTCACAGACAGCCACATTCTTGAGTCTCTAACAACAAGGAAGGCACTGGCAAGCAAGCGACAGTGAAAGTGAGCTCCTACTCCCTGCCAGAGCTGTCTATGTCCTACAGAGTCCAAGCAGTACTGTGGTTCTTGGCCTCAGCAGCACGGACTGAAGACTGAAATCACCAGAGGAGCTTTAGAACATAATGATGCCCAAGTCCAGCCCCCAGAGATTCTGATGAAATCCGTCTAGAATGTGATCTGAGCACTGAGATGTTTTTAGGGGCTCCCCGGGTGGTTCTAATACACAGCCAATGTTGAGGAGCACTAGCCTAGCCTCAGCTCTCATCCATGCCCAGTCATTTAACCATGAATTCCCTGAATGTGTCCTACTCTCACATATCCATGTCTTCGTCAGGGAACTCACTCCGCTTGGAATACTCTCCCTACCCTTCTTAGTCTAGGCTGTCTCCTCTCACTCATGTGAAGACCTAGTGGAGGTATTCTTTTCCAGAAGGCACCCTGTTGGCTTGTTCCCTGTATGTACTGTGCTATAAACGATGCCTGTTTATTTTTCTGCCTCCAGCAATAGGCTGTCAGTTATTTGATAGCGAGCACTGTGATTTATTTATCTTAGTAGCACAAACACACAATGTCTAGAAAATAAAAGATGAATGAATGAATGAACAAATGATCTAACTAACAGATTAACTCTGACTCAGGCCCAGAGGGAAGCAGAGGTGCTAAGATCACCAAGAAACCAGTTACCAACAACTATCAAGCTGTTTGCTCGTAGTGGAGCTTAACAGTGAACCTATCTGCCTAAAAACGACTGTGATGTGAAAAGAGTTACAAGTACATGTAAATCACCCAACCATATGTTTTTTTAAAAATAATAACTTCATTCTTTGAGAGACTGGCATCATGAAGGGAATTCCACAGGTTCTTTACTTCATTCCTTCTATTCTTGACACACACCAAGCTCCTCCCTATCTTGTGTGCATGTACTGGGTATTCCCTCTGCATGGGATCCTTTCCCCTCATGTTCACACAGCTCACCAGGGCTCAGCCTGGCTGCGGTCTCTTCAGGGACGCCTTCCCTGACTTCCCTTTCTAATGTAGTCTTGTCAGCCTCCCCACCATCACACTCTATTATTCTAGTCTGTTTTCATGCCTTCGACATGGTACAGACTGTCTGACATTAAATACGTTTGCCTGTTCATAGTCAGTCTGTCTTAGCTAGGATGGAGGCTCTATGAGGACACAGACCCTGCCTGTCTTGTCCCCTGCTGAATCCACAGTGTTTACAACAGTGCCCAACACACTGTAAATACTAAAAATACCTGTCAATGAATAGCATAAATATGCATATCAACACATTTTACATTTATGTTATTTACCACGCAGGGAACTTATTTCAAAGCAAAATTTTCAAAGGCTAACATAAAGGCTATCCTAACAAATGTTAAGAAACACAGAGTCCTTTCTCCTTGAAACGTATCTGTCTCTTGTTAACACTCAGGTTACCTTTCTATTTCAACAGTTACTTTAAAAGATCGTCTAAAACACCCATACACTGCTGCACAGGGCATTACCCAGATTTGAGAGAGATTTCTCACTCCCAAATTTCCAACTTACAAAGCTGAATGAATGAGTGGTGCCATTTACCAAGATGAGAAATACTAGAGAGCCAGTTTTAAAAGGAAAGAAAATGAGTTCAATTTGAGACATAAGACTCAGAAGCATGCACCATCCAACTAGACATGTTAAGAATTTAAAAAATAAAAATATGAAAGCTATCAGGAAAGTGGCTAGAAATGGGTCTAGAGCCCGAAGAGGAGCCAGACTGAAAATACACATATGAAATGGGCTTTAAAAACCAGATTCATGGGAGGGCGCGATGCCTCACGCCTGTAATCCTAGCACTTTGGGAGGCTGAGGTGGGTAGATGGTCTGAGGTCTGGTATTCAAGACCAGTCTGGCCAACATGGTGAAACCCCATTTCTACTAAAAATACAAAAAAATCTGCCAGGTGTGGTGACTGGTGCCTGTAATTGCAGCTACTCAGGAGGCTGAGGCAAAAGAACTGCTTGAACCCCCGAGGTGGAGGTTGCAGTGAACCAAGATCACACCACTGCACTTCAGCCTGCATGACAGAGCAAGACTCCATCTCAAAAATCAGGTCAACTTGTACATACATTCTTTCTAAATATCAGAATCAAAATTAACCACTCAAAGTAAGAATATTTGCCCATGCTTCTTAAAATGTTTGAAAGTACTGGACTTTTACAGCCTCAGTACTTACTGGAAAATAATCTAGTTCTCACCTTTTCCCTTGTTGCCCAGTGCAGGCTCGGTTACACACTAACAGGACAATCTTGTCACTGCCTGCTCTTGTGGTGGGTTGATCAGTTTTCCCTTGCTTTGCTGCTGTTTGTGTAGGAGAAGACAGTCTATGATAATCCAAGCCAAATTTCAAGTGGTTTAGGTTGTTGTTTAAGTGAATTCCTGAAATAAAATAAAAACAACTCATTTTATCTCTTCAAATTTCTTTTTATTCACTATTATGAAGAAATTTACCCAACAGAGAAAATTTTTTTTAAAAAGTCATTATGTAAATTAAACTGCAATCAAAAAAAGAAACACCCTACTTAGATTACTCATCTAGCAGTTAGAGCGTTTCTTTAGCATCCATTATTGTTTTCTTTAAACTAGCCTTACTTATCTTAAAAACTGTAAATTAAAACTCTGCACTTCAATGAATGTTAGATACAGTTTTAGATGGGCATGTGTGCTGAGATGATTCACCAAAATAATTTAGTGAGGTCATGCAACCAGTAATCAAACAAATTTTTTAAAAATAAAGATGAGAATATGTGGAATGCTCTTTAATACTCAATAGCAGTTTCTTCTCCCTGATTAAAGAGCCAGACTTAAAAGAAATAAAAGGTAAATTACACACTACACCTACTAGACTCAGAGCCATTAGAAGAATCTTCCAGCCTGGGTGAAAAGAGCAAAATTCCACCTTAGTAAAAAAAAAATCATCCAGGAAGCTTTATTTCTTCCTTTTAAATTTTCTTTAAAAAACCAAAGTCCAGGGTCTATTCCTCAGAAATACTGACTTAATTGATCTAAGCTGGGTTCCAGGTATCTGTTTTCTTGTTGTTTTTTAAGCTTCTCAGATAATTCTGGCCTGCAGTATAGGTTGAGAACAACCCTTGACAGGGGTGTCCAAGTCATTATTGATGACTGGTCAAACTAAAATTTAATAATATTGAAGCAATTTAAGAAATTCCAAATTCAATCAGTAATTTCCTAGGGTCAGAGTTTCCTATCAAGTCTGTTTCCAAAGAGATCTCTTCCCTCTCCATCCTCCTCCTCCCATCTCTTAACAACAGACTGTTTTTAAACTGAAGTTTCCTTTATCTGTTTCATGTATCAGTAAATGAGATGAAGAGAGACTTCCCAACTATTGGTCTGAAAATGACTACCTTGAGTCATTGTTTTGTAGATGTATTCTTTAAATATAATGCGGTCTATAAATCAGAATAAGTTATTTTTGTCATATTAGAGTAACCTATTTCTACATCTTTGAATTCAGGAAATGCATCAGGAAAATGCAAATAAAACCACAAGGTGACACCACTTGATGCCCACTGGACTGACTTAAATTCTAATACAAACAATACTAACTGTTGCACATATACATGACTAGAGACTATAAGTAGCTTAAAGTGAGCTTGCGCAGGTAGTGAGGGAATTTAAGGTATACAAGGAAAGAAGGACAAGAAAGACAAGAAATCAAAGAGAAATGATGACCAAGCAGACCATGATACTCGATCCTACATAAGACTTTTTTTTTAATTTTGTTGTGAAGTACAATAGTGAGATAAAAGGCAAAGTTTCAATAAATCTGTAAGTAAAATGATAGTATTTCAAGTTTGGCATTCTGGAGAGAAGTGCAGGATAATAAAACCAATATGCCTGGCATATTTCTAATGCTCACTCCACCTGGAAGTGGATCAGGCAGTAACAACTTGCCAACTAGTAAAAAAATTACCAGGCTACAAAAATTGTAGTATTGTACCAGTATTAATTTCCTGATTTTGATAACTGTACTTAGATTATATAAGACAATATACTTGTTTTTAGAAAATACATGAGGTATTTAAGCATAAAGCGTTAATGTATCTGCAATTCACTCTCAAATGGTTGAGAAAAAGATAATAAACACACACACACAGAGAACAAATGTGATAAAACACAGCAAAATGTTAACATACTGAGGCATCTGGGTGATGTATATATGGAAATTCTTTGGTACTATTTTTGCAACTTTTCTCTAAGTCTGAAATTATTTCAAAATGAAAAGTTTACAATAGGTATCCCTTTTTTTCAAGAATTAGTTTTTCTTCTTTGCTTCTTAGGAAGAATTGTACTTGACTTTTGTTTGTCATTCACTGATCTCTTTGCCCCAAACCATGATTCACTTATCCCATCAACATTCACTAAGTCCCTACCATATGACAGGTATTAAGGAGGCTAATGAAAGGCAGACGAAAGATAAGCCATGGCCTTCTCAGTCTAGTAGGAGAGACACACATACAAAAAAAATTAAGAACTATGCGATGTCATACTATTCACATGCACAGAAGGTCTGCATCAGCTGATGAAGCCAAGTCTATTAGTAGAGGTGATGGAAGATTCCAGGGCTCCAGATAAGACTGAAAGGAGTTCCACAGGCCAGAAAAGATGAGGAGTACGTTTCAGAAAAATTAAACAGTATGTACCCCAAAAGCCCCACAGGTGTGAAAACACATGCATTATTGCTTTAAATCCTCCTAACACCTATGGAGCAGGTATGACTTCTCCCGAGACTATACCTGAGCCCTTAATCATAAGCATTTGATAGGAGACTCAAGGCAAACTGGCAGAGGTAGTAAGACAAGGACAGATGGTCCATAATAAGAACAGCAGGGCAAGTGGAGCAGAAGGAATGCATATAAAATATTTAGGAGGCAAAATGAACAATAAGGGTTCAGGTGTGGACAGGGTGAGGCAGAAAGAGAAGTTTGATTCTAAAGCAGCTGTCTTGGGAGACTAGATTGATTCACTACAATAAGGGATATGAGAAAGGAGCCAGTCTGAAAAGAAAAAACAGTACACTGTATTTAAACATTTGAGGAGTCTGTCAACAATTGAGGTGAAGGTAGTAAGTAAATGTCTGGATGGACAGGTCAGAAGCAGGATGTACGGCAGGCATAGAGATAGATGGGATACAAGAGTGCCAGTTCAAACCATGAGTGCTGAACAGGCAGGCCAAGGAGAGGGTCAAGACTAAGAAGGAGGATGAGAGCAGGAAACAGGACCCTTGGGAACTCCAAACTTTAAGGGGTGGGCAGAAGAAAGATCCTAGCAAAAACAGCAAGGGAGGGTCAGGTGGTCCCCTCAACACAAGGTGGTACTGAAGGGGACACCAGCCCAGGGTTGGCACAGCAGCTGCATTCCTCCCTGCTCCACAACACTGCATTCTGTTCAAGTGCCCAAACACACCTCCACCCACTGTCAACCTTGACTCCCTCTTTGCTGGAATTAAGTATTCTTGATCCAAACCACTTCACCTTCCCTCTCCTCCACCTTGAATGTCTCCATCTTTACCCACAGTCCCCCTTCCTCCTGTCTCAGAAGAAAATGCCCCTTCAGTTTTTAAGGATTGCGCACACTCTACCACCTACATTTTATACTAAGGTCAAAAGAGGAAGACATTCCCTGACTCCCTCTCTGGCTTTCTGCTTAACCCTTAGCCCATCACACTGTGGCTTCTGCCCCTCCCTCATACTGAAACTGCAAGGCCTTTCTTCCACCCTTCTCTGCCTTAGATGGCCCATCCATCCTTTAAATTCAAATCTGTCCCCTCCCCTGTGGCACCATCCCAATCCAGCCCAAGCAGTCTTAGTAGTTCCCACTAAGGTTTCCCAATACTTCCATTTATACTTTCCTTTGAACATGGATAATGCTCCTACATAAACTGACCAAGGCTAAACTCATAAAGAGCTCACTAGATGGTGAAATTTTTGAGGCCAGAGTTTGGCCTTATTGTTTGTGGTCATCAGTACCTCCCACATTATCTTCACTAAATAACTTCAATAAATCTCTGTTCAGATAGTACCAAAAACCTGAAATATACTTATATTTACCACTCATGCCAATCACAGCGAAAGTTATCTCCAAGTGCACAAAAATATTTGTAATTGATTCGTTTACTGCTAGAGCAAAGAAGGTCACCTCAACATTGTGTTACCAGTAACAGAACACTGGAAGCAATAACCAGAAATATACAAGCACTTCCATTTATTGAAGACTTACTATAGTCAGTCCCTGTGGAATGTCTGACATGCCTAATCTCATACAATCTTGACATCAACACTATCAACGTAGTGATTTTTCCTCTGCACGTCATGTAAAGAAACTAAAATTTTTTAAAACTGGGTAAGCTAGGAAGCAGCAGTGTTCCTGGGTCTGACACAAAGCCCAGGTGCTAGTCTCCCTTATACTAACACAAATACTAAGCTGACCCCTCTGTAGGGCTGTCCACAGTTCTGGTTTGGACCCTCACAGAAAAATCCAATGAGGCTTCTGCCATTTCAGTTATCCCATTCATGGAAATTTAACTATCTGCCTGAAAAGTCAGCTAAGTGGGACAACTTGACAGCCACCACGAAAGAATAATGTTGGGCCCTTACCTTAAACAACATAAAAAACTAACTTGAAATAGTTCAAAAAACTAAATTTAAGAGCTAAAACTATAAAACTCTCTAAAAGAAAATATGAGGTAAATCTTTATGACTTTGGATTTGATAAAACGTTAGATATGACAACAAAAGCATAAGCAATGACAAGAAAAAATAGATAAACTGGACTTCAACAAAACTAAGGACTTTTGTGTTTCAAAGGACATTATCAGGTAGTTAAAAGACCACCCACAGGATGGGCGAATATATTTGTAAATCATATATCTGATACGGGTCTAGTATTCAGCATATGTGAAAATTTCTAAAAGTTAACAACAAAAAACAAAAAAACAATTTTAAATGGGCAAAAGATTTGAATAGACGTTTTTCCAAAGATGACATACAAACAGCCAATAAGCACAGGAAAAGATGATCATCACCATGTCAGTCACTAGCACAAATCAAAACCATAATAAATACCATTTCATATCCACTATGATGGCTAAAATAAAAATGTTAGATAATAATCAACTGTTGGTGAGAATGTAGAGAAACTGGAACCCTCAAACATTGCTGATAAAAATGTAACATGGTGCAGTCACTTTGGGAAACAGTCTGTAAGTTCCCCCCCAAATGATTAAACACCGAGTTACCACATGACCCAGTGGTTCTATTCCCAGGTATGAAAAGAAAAGAAAACGTTAAGTCCACACAAAAACTTGTGTGGCACATTCACAGCAGCATTATTCACACCCAGAAGGCGGAAACCCACATGTTCATTAGCAATGAATAAACAAAATGTGACCTATTCAAACAATAAAATATTTGGCCATAAAAAGGAATTAAGTATGATATATACTACAACAGCAATGAATCTTGAAAACATCACACTAAGTAAAGCCAGTCACAAAATGCCATATATTTTATGATTCCGTTCATATAGAAGTCTAGGCTCGGGAAATCTGTAGAAACAGAAAGTAGAATAGTGAGCTGGGCATGGTGACTCATGCCTGTAATCCCAGCACTTTGGGAGGCTGAGGCCTGCGGATCACTTGAGGTCAAGAGTTTGAGACCAGGCTGGCCAACATGGTAAAACCCCATCTTTACTAAAAATATAATAATTAGCTGGGCGTAGTGGCACATGCCTGTGATCCCAGCTACTTGGGAGCCTGAGGTTGCAGTGAGCCAAGATCGTGCTACTACACTCCAGCCTGGGTGACAGAGTAAGACTCTGTCTCAAAAACAAAAAAAGAGACAAAGCAGAATAGTGGCTTCTTAGAGCTTAGCAGGATGGGAAGACTGGAAGGTGCCTTGGGGAGACAAAGCAAGAGCTAACAAGACAGAAGCTGAAGAAGTGAATCCTCACCATAGCAAACGGTTGGGAACATGGAAAAGCACATGGCATGTCTGAGAAACAAAGAGTAACGTGAAAGAGAGGACACGAAGAAGAAGAAGAAATGGAGTACAGAGGCTGGAAAGAAAGGCAAGAACCAAATCATAGGGGGTTATGCTCCTTCCAAGGTGTTTAGATTTAATCTTAGAAAAGAGGAACCACTGGTAATTCAGTAGCATGTAACATGATCAGAACTGTGTCTGTGGAGAAATAACTAGACTGGAGAAAGCTCAGTGATAAAGATAAAAGAACTTACTGGAAAATCTCAGTTGAGACTGTCCTGAACCATGTCAGTGGCAGTAGAATAAAGAGGAAATATGCAGTGTGTGTCAATAGTTCTATGAGAATTTTGAAGGAGAAGTCATCAAGCTTGGATCCAGTTGGAGTGAAGAGGAGGGTAGTAGTGCCATTATTTCTAGTAAAAATGCAGGAGCAACCAATCTAAGAAAGACATGCTAAGGGCAAGATGCCTGTAGGATTTCTAAGTAGAAATTCCAGTGGGAAGGTGGAACTCAAGGAATGGAACTGGAACCAAAGAAAAGTAGAGGCTACAGGGGGAATTCAGGTCAAAACAATCAAGGCAATGGAAAATCCTGATAACAGCAGCAGTTCTCACTTTAGCTTGCATCACGATCACCTAGACAGCTTGTTTACCAGAGTTTCTCCTTTACTAGGTATGGGGTAGGGACCCAGAATTTCTATTTCTGACCAGTTCCCAGGTAACACTGATATACAAGTTTATAACCACCAGGGTAGAGCAAAAAGAGGAACCCCAGGAGGAACCCTGAAGAATACTGTGGCCAGGAACAAAGTCTAAGCTGCTTGATAACTCTTAAAATCAGAATAACCCAGTAACTTTAAGCACAGTGGGGAGACCAAACTGCACAGTGGGGAGACCAAACTAAGTTCCAAATTACAGCTCAAACCACAGTAAGAGTAACCATATTGTCCATAGTTTTACTTCATTTTGCTGTCTATCAGTGAAAAGTTACATGCAAATTTCTTAAAAGTGGGTACCAAGAAAACATTCTACAGCAAAAACGTTAGAATCTTCAGAGCTGACAAAGCAATATTAAAAAAAAAAAAAGTTCTGGCATAGTTTATCTTCCTGAATACCATGATAAGATGCCAAAAAGGCTACTTAAGGGAGGTCACAGTCAGTCCTGAATCTCAGTAACAGATTATCCCAACTAAACGATGGACATATCTTTGCCTAAAACAGTAAGAGGTGGTTTCCTCTAGGAAAATACTACTCTAAGATTAATACCATCATTAAAAAAATTATGTGTATTTTACAATTTATTTAAAGTATATCATCACATAATAGACATCTAAAAGGGTAGATTATAGTTAAACCTGCAAACCCAGGTGGCATTATTAAAACAGGTGCTCATTTACCTCTCTGACTGATAATTCCTTCAGGCCTAAATATTTCAGGAGTCTCAAAGGCAAAAATGCAGTCGCTTTCATGGACTGTTTCCAGGTCGTCTGTATCACAGAAGGAACGATGGAACCCATCATAGTACATTTCCGTTAACACAATCTAAAAATAGGAAAAATATAAACAATTGGGTAACTGGAAATTCAATACTAATTGATCTCCCAATTATATGAACTTTTCCAGACCATCAGGACTGGCAGTGGTCTGAGAGAGCTCTGAAACATCTCACAATGCTTACTTTATTTGACTTTAATGAGAGAATCTTGGAAACACAATATCCTCTGTAATTACATAACAATATACAGTCATCTGTGGGTTCTACATCTGTGAATTCAACCAATTGCAGATCAAAAACATTTAGAAGAAAAGAAAAGGATGATTGAATGTATACTGAACAGATAGCCTTTTTCTCCTTGTCATTATTTTCTAAACAATATAGCATAACAACTGTCTACATAGCATTTACACTGCATTAAATATTATAAGTTATCTAGAGATGATTTAAAACATATTGGATTTTAAATCCAATATATTTTGCATCCATTATGTATCCATAAAATAAAAAGTAAAAATAAAGTACACAGGATGATATGTTTAGGTTCTATGCAAATACTGTGCCATTTTATAAAAGGGATTAAAACACTGTGGATTTTGGTATCCTAGTGCAGGGGTTCCTACAACCAATCCCCACGGATACTAAGGGACACCTGCACTCTGATGTCAGAACTCTGTGACTCTAACTCCAGAGTTCCTCTAAGTTTTGGTGTAGAAGAGAACCAGGAGATCATAACATCTAACTCCCCCATGTCACTGGGAGAAGAGAAGCCAAGAGACTTGCCTAAAAGTTCTCCAACTATTCAGCTTCATATCAAGGAAGAGTCCACATCTGACTCTGAGGCTTTCTCCCACATCATTTAATTTTCCATTTTTCAGGCTAAACCATCGATATTTGTATTGGAAAAAAAAAAACAAAAACAACTCAAATGTCCAAAAATACTAAGTAGTTAAATATATTATAGCCCTACTGGAATCTAAAGCTGCTAAAAAGAATAAACTATATATATTTGCACTAACATGCAAAGATCTAAAAGCAAGGTAAAAAGGTATGTATAAATGATTCTACTTATATAAAATAATATAGTATATGCATGGAAAAAATCTAAATGCACATAGGATTAAGGTAAGCAACCTTAGCACTAAGATACCTAATATAAGATACTTCCTCTTTCTGTTAGATTTCTGAAATGGTTGAGTATTTTACAATAAAACAAAAAAACAGGACAGGCATGGTGGCTCAAGCCTGTAATCCCATCACTTTGGGAGACCAAGACAGAAGGACTGTTTGAGGCCAGGTGTTCAAGACCAGCCTGGGCAACATGACAAAACCTCGTCTCTATCAAAAATACAAAAATTAGCTGGGCATAGTGGTGTGTGCTTGTCATCCCCACTACTCGGGAGGCTGAGGTGGGAGGATCACTTGAGCCCAAAAGGTTGAGGCTGCAGTGAGCCATGATTGTACCACTGCACTCCAGCCTGGGCAACAGAGTGAGACCCTGTCTCAATCATTCATTCAGTCAGTCAATCAATACAGAGAAACAAAAGATAGAGAGAGGAGAATACTGGAGACATTTAAAGACTTCATTACATTCTAAGCCTCTCTGTCTAGTGAAAAAGCACTAGATTGGACACATAGGTTCCAGTCCAGCCTACCACCAACCAGCTCCGCAAACCTGAACAAGTCACATGGCTTCTCTGAGCCTCTTTCAAATAAGGGAGTTGGACAGGACCCCTGCGGTCCCATCTACCAGCACTAACATTCTGCAAATCTACCAAGTAAACGGGGTTGGTGGTATGTTCCACAAACAGTCCAGCAAAAATGTTCCTGGCATATTTTCCTTCTAATGAATTTAATGATTGTGTTGTTTTTCTGCTGGTACACATGGAAGTAAAATTCACTCCCTTCAGCAAACTGAGGTCAAAAGCAAACTTGGAATTATTTCACCAATTTAAACCACATGCAAAAGGAGCCAGACAGTGCTGGAAGGTGTAAAGACGCAACCAGATTTGCCCCAGACACCACCGAAGCCTTGCTCCCTCTTTTTCTGCCTTTCACCTCATCCTGAGGAAAAGAAAGAGTTAATGAGCTTTTCAGAGTAAGAAAGAATATGAACATTTTATCAACATGCCAGTCCTTGGCCTGCAAAAATATGAGATATTTGCTATATTAAGGCAACACTGCTGGTTATATTTGTTTTACTGTGGTAACTTCCCAAATGAGGCCACATGAGGCCAAAGTACAAAACACCTTTATTATTCCAGGGATTACATAGTAGCTTCCAGAAGCTACTATCTAGGGAAAGCAATTTAGCTACTGAGTCATCTTTCCTTAATAAATCTTAAATACGGAATGTTTTCCCAAATAAAATAATAACAGTAAATTGAGTAAAAACTATATGCAAAAACATGTCAAGTCACAAACAGGTCAAAAGTATTTTAGGTCAATTTCAACATAACTGCTTTTCAAACATGTACCCCAAAAAGGGGCATGGGCACAACTTTCCTTTCTCTGATCTAAACAAGGTAATGAGAAAGCGAAACATATTGAGCATCTATCATGTACAAAACACTGTACTACAAGACGTCCACTCTTACCACCACAATGAGAAGGGGTTTTCTAGTGTCACTGCTCAAGTTTTCGAAGGCTCTTTGACTGTCATATACTGCAAGGATGCTCTACTGCTCACAGATACATTCACAGGGATGATTTCGGAAGGCTTAAGTAATTATACCTTATGAACAAAGCTACAAGAAGGTCTTGGTGTAAAGTCACAGCTTTTAAAACTATATATATAATTAAATGAAACATGAAAAGTTTCTCTATACACTTAACTCTTTTGGGTCTTGATTTTTTTCCCCTCAACTCTAAATGCAGCTGGTTTTAAATCTCCATCTAATCGTACTTGGCAAAGAACTATAAAAAATTCCAAGAAAACAGAAAACGATATTTTGTGGCTCATGTATAACTGGACTTAGCAGACTTATTACCTGATCAGTGGGGATCTTTGTTTCCATAGACACTGCTTCCCGAAGTCTGGCGACAGTCCCAGACAGAGGCACAGCCACACCAATCCTCATGCAGTGAGAACATTTCCCTTGATACACTACGGTGACATAGAGAGGCCTAGACAGATCAAAGTCAGATCTTCTCATTAGTCACTTATTTCAACTAAAATATAGACGATGCAAACCAAGCCTGAGCTGAAATCAACACAAAACCAAAGCTAGCCCACATTGTTACTCGGAAGTTAGATGGAAAAATTTCATTTGGCTCTAAGTAGAACTATCAAACAATCATCAAGATCTTTGAAAAAGGCAATCTTCATAAACCAAAAATGTATCTATACTTGATTCTGTGCTTTGTATTTTCTTTAAAACAGCCTGGAAATGTTGAGAAACTGTTTAAAATAAAGCAATTAAGGAACAAGAAATATAAAGTAAGGTCTCCAGAGAATCCTGAAGTCACTCAACAGCTCCCCGCCTCCCCCGATTTTATGTGTAGATGACAAATTGGGCTAGACTACACAGCCCCTGCTTGCCTCACGTGCCTGCTCACCCTGCAAACTCAGGTGGGCATTTATTCTTGTAAGGTTGTAGCAATGACTGTACTCAATCCTACTGTTAATCCTCGTACCTGTCTAAATAAGTAAGATAACCTAATAGCCTACAGAGAAAAAGGAATACTATAACAAAATACAGTCTTCATTTTACTAAATCCATCCTTACCTTGTGTGGGGTAGAGGAATTGGCAAAGAAATGCAGAGGAAAGGATCAAAAGTGTTGCTCTGTTTCTGACAATGAGGACATGTCAAGGAAGATCTTCAAAACAAAAAGGTAAGACACTCAACATTAAAAGCACCCAGAACTATGTCAAGTAAGCAAAGTAAGTGGGAACATCTGATTTGCTCATACCTGTACTGGGCTTGAAAGAGTTCTTGCACAAAAGTGCTACAGACAGGAAAGGATGGTCCCTCAGGCATCATATCAGTCTCTGATGGTGGCTAAAAAAAAAAAAAAGAAAGTACAATTTCACAGACCAGAGGATCAATTCTTGGTTGAAGATGAACCTAGAGAGTTACAAATGTCCTTGACTTCTTTTACAGACTATACATCAAGTCCAGATGCTTCAGTGACAGGCACCTGCTAAAGGAGCCAGAACACAGCAAGCAGGATGTGGGTCTCGTGGACTCATCTCCTTACAGACTCTGCCAGCAATCATCTCTATACTGCACTCAGGCAGCTGGGCAGCTCTCCTTCCCCAGGATGCTCCAGTGTCCCTCCAATTCTCGAAGCCCCCACCACAACCTCCTCCAGGAAGTATCCCCAATCACTTTAAAAGTACTAATGCTGCCCATGCCTAAATCCCTAGGACTGATTAGCTGTGCAGTGTATGTTGGTCCTAATCACACTCTACTTCATGTTGCATTTTTCATGTCCCTCCACCTAATAATTAGTTACTAAGCACCTACTACCACATGCACAGAGCACTGTACAGGACATTATGATACAAAGATATTAAGACCCAGTGCCTGACCTTGAGGATATCTCAATTTGGTGGGAAAGTCAGCCACACAGATATAATCATATGACGGAACAGAGTGTTCAGGCACAAAAGGACCTTGAATCAGAATAATTTAACAACTCACCAAACCTGGAAATTTAAAATTTGAAGTACAGAGCAGAAGTATCAAAAACTTAAAAGCTGCCCAAGGGAAGCAACTCTTTAGTCTTATTTTTTTTCTATTATATAAATCATTTTATCCATACTTTTAAGACTACATGTATAAAATTAAGAATTAATCACTATGTTTCTCAGTAAGAACATTTTGGGGGCTCCTATGGTCAAATCCAATCCTAACAGCAGAGAAAATCCGTATGTTTCCTTTCTGATTATGTATTCATTCCAGTGAACTATACAGTATGTGTCGAATACAAAGCAAACATATTCTGCTTTAAAAAGTTTAGTGAAATGGGATCACTTAATTTTAATCTAAAGTTCATCATATATGCAAATGTTTCCCCTCTCATTAGACTATAAATTCCTTGGGGACAACAGCTCTTGTATCTTACACTGCCAGCATAGTAGTAAACAAAGTGAAAGGTCCTTTAAATATCCATTGAATATTATACTCACCCAGAGCTTAGTCAATTTCATTGTATTAATGCAATACAACAAGTTCTCAGTAGAAGAATCTAAAGGCTCTCATGGCTAGCTGACTGCCCTAGGGGAGCATGCATCCTTACCTTCAGAGGAGGCTGGCCACTCTGCTTCACTGAATGGTTGAGGTCTTCATGAACTCGGTCCAAAAGCCACAGCAGAAACTCCTGAGCATCATGCTGAGAATTTCCCCGGTACTGCAGTGCATTCTTTGACACAATAGTCTATGCAGGTAAATAAATCAGCATGAACAATTGTGAGTTCCTGGCTTTAAAGAAAAATTATTTATTCATAGTCCCAAAAGGGATGAAAGATCTCAAGGGTGTTAGAGAGTACTTCCCAGGAGAAGTGCAAAGTAAAAACAGATGCCAATGTAAAAACCTCACCCCTAGAAACATGTACCAGAGCCCTTAAAGTACACTGTATTAAGTGAAAAAAGGCTATAAATATGTAGTGTGAAATGTGAATGAATTCTTATAAAAATCGTTTAGGGGGTGTAGACATATACATATAAAGAAAAAGTTCTAAAATCACATGTACCAACATATTAAGTGTTATCTCTGGGTGACAGAATTACATGTGCTTTCTTTCTTCTCACTTTTTGTATTTTCTACAATTAACACATATTATGTAACAAAGCAGTTAAAAGTTCTGTTTGGAACTTTACAAGATTTATTTACATTGCTTTTGCTAAAATGCTAAACTTTTACTATGTAAGATACATTACAATTTCAAGATTCATCACTAATCAACAAAGATTTAATAAGTATCTAAGATACTCACACAGCCTAGTGAGGGGGACAGGGAGGAAGTCCATGCTTACAGTGTAGCATGATGGGATGGTGGTGACGGATGCCAAGTTTCTCATAGAAAGGAAAGTTACAGATAAGCAAGGAGAGAAGGCAATGAATCAGCTAAAGTCAGTATAAACTCTTTTTTTATTTTATTTATTTTTTTAAAGACGGGGTTTCACCATGTTGGTCAGGCTGGTCTTGAACTCCTGACCTTAGGTGATCTTCTGCCTTGGCCTCCAAAGTGCTTGGAGTACAGGCGTGAGCCACTGTGCCCAGCCTAGTATAAACTTATATTTAGCTTAATATAAAGATAAACAAATAATTACAGATATTTATTTATATATACTTGGATTCATATCCATATATCTGTACACTGAAAGGCACAGAAGCAGTGACACCCCAGTAACAACATGCACATCCAACACCCAGACCTTGGTTTCTAATACCATTTCCCAGTATAAAACTAGGGCTCCATGGAGAAATAGCCAATTCTAGGGCTGAGACAGGGACATGTCAAAGGGACAAAGAAATCAATCTAAAAGAGCTCCCAACAGCCAAAGCTGGACAATTTGATCAACAGAATAAATAATATTGGGTTACAACCCAAAATATAAAATAAATAAGTATAAATTGATATAACTAAATGACTGAATGAATAAATGAGGGAGAAGAGAGGTGGGTGAAACTAGTCTGATAGATTGAAAGAGGAAAGCAAGGATGACACCAAGGTCTCCCATTTCTGACTCAGGTAGATAATGAAACCAGGAACAGAAGGAGAGATTTTAGGGGACTACAGTTTTGAACAAGCTGCATTTGAGGTATCAATATGATTCCAAGTGAGGTTAAATCTGGTGCTCAGGAAAGAGATCTGAGCTGGAAATCTGAATCAGAGCAGCACACGTGAGAGAGAACCCAGGGAACATCTGGTGAGAAAAGGAAGCAGCAGGGACAGAACCTTAAACACTGGGAAAGGTCACAGAAAAGCTGCCCGTGAAGAAGCAAAGAGGTAACAGCCAGGAGAGAGTGGCATCATACAAGTGAAGATAAACAAACCTCCACAGGAACGGAAGCAACAATGAAAACTACTGCAGAAAAGTCAAGTCAGACAGGCTCTGAGGCAGATCCTTTGAAATAGCAAATTAAGAGGTTGCTTGCCCATGCAATCTCACTGAAGCAGAATATTTATCAGAGACAGTTAAGAGAAATGAAAAGGCAAAGGTTTACTGCCAGAGATCATTCTTCACAACCAAAGACCTCAGTTATAAAAGATTGGAGGAAAGATACTGTGACCATCTAGAGGGGACTTTAGGGAGCAGAGGGACCAACATGCTAAGGGAAGGAGCTAACAGAAGGGAGATGTCTGAATAAAGATGATTATTTGGTCTGAGAGTGGTGGCTCACACCTGTAATCCCAGCACTTTGGGAGGTAGAGGTGGGCAGATGACCTGAGGTCAGGAGTTAGAGACCAGCCTGGCCAACATGGTGAAACCCCATCTCTACTAAAAATAGAAAAATTAGCCAGGCATGGTGGTGCGCGCCTATAATCCCAGCTACTCAGGAGGCTGAGGCAGGAGAACTGCTTGAACCCAGGAGGTAGAGGTTGTAGTGAGCCGAGATTACATCACTACACTTCAGGCTGGGCAACACAGCAAGACTCATACAAAAAAAAAGTGATTCTTTAGTAAGGGGAGAAGGAGAGATTGATTTAAACGAGGCTGTAAAGGAATTAGCCTTAAACAGAAGGTAGGAGAGATGGAAGAGAAAGAGGTAAAGATAGTCCTGGATGCAGATAAGCTAGAGACAGGAAGGCAGGGAACCTGGTTCTTTGAGTTTGTTTTGTAAAGAAAGTAGAGGACAACTGCCAAAAGAGCTCTTAGGTATAGCAGGGGTATTGACAATCTCATGGCATATAGTTGGGTCACACAAACTGCCAGAAGTATAGCAAGCTTCGGTTCCGAATCCTCTCTCTTATTTACTTCCAACTAGGGGGAAAAAAAGAAAATTTTCAACATAGATACTGCAAAAAAAAAAAAAACCAACTGAAATCAAACTCAAATGTTTCAAAGCAGCTATTTTATACACAGCATCCATTCAGATTTCAGGGTGGAGACCATATTCAATTATCAAGACTGCATTAAATTTATTTACAGTTCTGGCCACTATCACTTCAACTCATCCACACTTCCCCACCAATTGCTGTGTTCTAAGGCAGTGTCAAGGCTGTTCAACAAGATGTTTGTTGGGCACGACCAAACAGGCAACAGGACGTCCGCAATCCTCTTAACCAGGGCAAAATCTATTCTGGGGTAACCCCACCCTAAATCACTACATCACACCCTAAAGGAAATTTAAGGAAAAGAAAATCTCAATACGCAAACACAAAAGCACCTCTTTCTATCCCTCACAATGGTAACTTCTTCCCACTACAGACACCCAGGGGACTACTTATCTTACTTCTTCCCCAGACAAAACAAAACATAGAAGAATCTAAAGGTCAATCCTTTAGTATGTGTCACAGAAAAAAGAAAAACAGTAGGAGTCAAGAATCCTAAGCTCAAGCTCTGGCTCTGCCACAAACCACTGTATCAGAGGCAACTCACTGAGCCTGTGATTCGACTCCTGGTTTTTAAAATGAGTAGATGAGACTCCTGCATCCCAAATCTTTACCCAACCTCCCCAAGAGTTCCAGCAAGTGATCTGGTTTACATTTTTGGTCACATCTGATGCTGCTTTGATTTGCTTTTTGTAATTTTTTTTTCATAATTAAACCTTAGTTTATTTGATGTCCTATATTAATTTTTCTGCATTTTTGCAGTTTTGAAAACACTATCAATGTCATCTGTAAATAGCAGCACTGGTACAATCTGAAAAATTATTTAAATATGTCATTTCTATGGAAAATAGAATGTGGGCCAGGTGTGTTGGCTCATGCCTGTAATCTCAGCACTCTGAGGCCAAGGCACAGAAGGGCTTGAGCCCTGTTCAAGACCAACCTGGGCAACACATTGAGACCCAGTCTCTATTTAAAATAAATAAAAGTAAAAGAGAAAAGAAAAAATAGAACATGAACCTTCTTAAAATTAATCTTACATATTTGTGTCTATTTTACAGAATTTGGGTCTAGTGTTTCTGTTTGGAAAAAATACTAAACTGAGCCTCGTGGCTTAAATCCTATACATCTTACTACAAACAAGTTTGACCACTGCTCCAATTTTCCCCTCAGTTGAGATGATCCTTAGCATATATTTACTAAAGAATAAAATAAAAGGCAAAACACTTACCAGATTTTCAAATTTCACAAAATTTCTCCTTACCCTTCAAAGAGAGAATTTTTTTTTTTTTTTAAGGGAAAAAAAAGTTGGAAACATGGGTAAGAAAAGAGCCATAAAATTAGATATGATGGTCTTTCTTCCTGTAGAGCCCTAGTAAAAAGGCCGATGCATCTCAGGCTCCCAGAAAAAGATACTGACTGGTCCAAGACATCTTCACCTAACCCCAGGAAGAATAAATGGTAGGTCACTGGTGATTTCAACCCATGGCAAATGGATGTGTGGCAATACTGGTCTGACATGAATGATCGGGAGTTGGGCTACTCTTTTTGGAAGAAGGGTAGCTTGCAAGACTCGTCAAACCTAATCATTGCCCACTTTCTTTGATTCTATGCCAGAAGAAACATAAAATTTGTTTACAGTGATCATGGACCAAAAAAAAAAAAAAACACACACACACACACACAACCAGAAGAACTCAGGACAACAGTATTACATTTTTAGAAAAAGAAATAAATGAAATGCAAACAGCTGGGTTTATAGATGTCATCTAAAAGTGAAATCTGGTTTCTGGGCTGCTGCTGGAAATAAAATAATAGGCACTTGTCTTGATGAAGAGTTTCATCTTTTGAATTTTGCTTTCAGGACATCTACTACGTTGATAAAGAATAATTAGCTAAAACAAAAGGAATGATTTGTACAAAGAGATGAATACTGTAAAAACAGATATGACCCATGAAAAAATGGTAATATAGTGTCCATGCAATAGTATGCCATACTAGGACACAGAATAAATGGGGCCCTCTGTGCCCTTCATCCTTTCTCCTTTCTTATCTTCTTCTCTGAGGGGAAGTCTTTTAACAAAGGCACAAATAAGACTCAAAGACCCCTAGTATTAGCTGGCTGGGGCAATAACAGGCCCTTGAAAGAAAGCCTAAGGCCTCCAGACTCTCACACATACTTCCCCTAGGGTTGAAATGGCCTCCACCACACCCCTCAAACCCATTCTCCCTCCTGGGTGCAGGGAGACCCTGGTGGGAGAGGAGAGAGAGAGAAATGAGGCACACGGAAAGGGGGCTTCCATCCAGGATGGAAAGACAACCTGATGAGGACAGAGGCAAATGCCACACACATTCCCTGGACTCTTCTTCACGTTTGGCC